TGCTGACACATGAAAATTTTGTTTTTTAGGTTGAAAAAAAAATTCCCTGAAAATTTTAGCCCTTAAATTTGATTTTAAGTACTTCCTTTTTAATTTTGTAGTTTTTCCATATAAAAAGCATGTATTTTTAATCATTTTTTCTATATTTTGGCCGGGTTTTGAATTATAATTTTTATCACCATAATTTCCTGCATAGTATACGGTTTTTGAAAGACCCTGCATCAATTTTGTTTATGATTTATTTACGTTGATTGTAGTAGCGTTTTTTCACTTTTTCTCACATATTTTTGAGAAAATCGAGCGAATGACTGGTTTTACCGAAAAAGTTCAAATGAAAAAGTTGTAGGAAATTTAATTTTTGACAAAAAAAGTTCTTACGTTCATATCACTAAAGTGCTTTGTTTAAGAGATATAAGGTATAAATATATGTATATTATATTATACATAAATTTCAATAAAACCTATTTTTTTTTTGTTTTTGGTTATTGAATTGCTTATATCTCTTAAACAAAGTACTTTAGTGATATGAACGTAGGAACCTTTTTTGTCAAAAATTAAATTTCCTACAACTTTTTTATTTGAACTTTTTCGGTAAAACCAGTGATTCGCTCGATTTTCTCAAAAATATGTGAGAAAAAGTGAAAAAAACGACTTTTGGAGCTACTACAATCAACGTAAATAAATCAAAAACAAAATTGATGCAGGGCCTTCCAAAAACCGTGAATACTATGCAGAAAATTATGGTGATAAAAATTATAATTCAAAACCCGGCCAAAATATAGAAATTTAAAGTAAAAATGATTAAAAATACATGCTTTTTATATGGAAAAACTACAAAATTAAAAAGGAAGTACTTAGAATCAAAATTAAGGGCTCATATTTTCAGGGAATTTTTTTTTCAACCTAAAAAACAAAATTTTTATGTGTCAGCAAGAAAAAAATTGTTCGTTTTAAATGAAACACCCTAATAGTTATACAATGTCATATTGTTTACATTTAAAAGGCCTAACTGTCAGCATCAGTGGTATTTTTGTAATTTTCCAGTTTAAATTTTTTTTAAATGCAAAGTTTATTCAAATTTAGAGTATGCTAATATGGTTTTTGTTTATGGCTTTTGTAATGGCAATGCCACAGCTGCTGTAGAAGAATATCGGCGACGTTTTCCACGTAAAAGGGCTTTTGACAAAAACGTGTTTATTCGCGATTTTAACAAACTTTGCGTGACTAGAACTCTTCCAAGTGCTAAAATAACATCTGAAAAAGCTGATCGACAAACTTTAGAAGAAGTGGAAAATATTTTGGATCTAGTGGAAGAAGGTGCAACGGGTAATACACACACTTCACGAGCAAGGCTTATACCCATACGGTATGGGCCATACCATTTACAAAGAGTACAGTTTCTACTGTCGGTGGGTAACCAACAATCGTAGAGTTGTATCGCGTATACTTTTTACTGATGAAGCAACATTTACCCGTGACGGCATTAATAATACGCACAACTCTCACGTATGGTCTGACGAAAATCCCCATGCTATAGTCGAAACCAATTTTCAGCACAGGTTTTCTATAAGTGTGTGGTGTTCTATGATTGCTGGGTATTAATTGGCCCTTTTATCATGGAGAATCGCCTCACAGGGGAACACTACCTTAATTTTTTAATAAATGAGTTGCCAGGATTACTAGAGAATGTCCCTTTAAACGTAAGAAGGCGAATGTACTATCAGCATGATGGAGCCCCTGCACATTTCGCTCGTGAGGTCAAGCATCACTTGGATGAAATGTTTCCAGAGCGTTGGATTGGTCGCGGAGGTCCAATTAGTTGGCCTCCAAAAGGTCCAGATCTAACACCACTAGATTTTTGTTTATGGGGTTGGTTTAAAACAGAAGTTTACAAAGTTAAAGTGAATAATTGAGAGGCACTAATTCAACGAATAATTAATACTGGCGCAGTTCTTAAAGAAAAACAAGAGTTAATAGGACAAGTAACAGGTGCTGTTCGCAGACGTAGCAGAGCATAACTATTAAACAAATGTTACAGTTTCATTTTATTTATTTTTTAATTACGCTATAACTTCAAAACAAATGAGAATCGAGAACATTTGAGTTTTTTTAATTATTTTAATGTGTAGAATGCAGTCCTAGAGTTCGGTGCGATACTTTTGATTCACCCTGTATATACAGGGTGTTATGTAATTCATGTAATATATTAAAATGGATAGTTCCTTAGGGTCCATAAAGAAGCACCTTAAACTTTTTTTCTTCTAAATTCTAAAGACTAAAAATAATATATAATAACCTTTATCCTACGAAAAAGTACGCTACTGATTGACTAGGAACTTTAGGCTCATCTGGTTGCCTAATTTAATTTATTATGTTATGGTTGGTAACAAACAGCGTTTCCAGATTCTGTCAAAAAAAGTTGCCAGATTTTGTTTAAATTTCTTAATTAAAAACATTACAAAATCAACAAAGCAAATTGTTAATTTGGCGTTTTTATTAATATTTTATTATGTCATTTTTGTAATGAAGGTAAATTCAAACAAAATCTGGCATGATTATGACAGAATCTAGTGATTTTCTTTTTCTTATTTAAAAAAAGAAATTATGGTAGTCGTAATACTACCACAACCCAGAATTTTATCACTTTATCATGGCGACTTATATCGTGCCCTTAAAGCATAATCAAAATATGCTTTACGTAAAAAACATATATAATTTTGTTTATCAAATTTAATTATTTACATATCGGGTTACATTAAAATAAATTGTTTTTGTTATAATATAAAACATGCTTGGAAAATTGTTAAAAATCAATTCATATAAATTATTAAATTGATCTAAGTACTTATTATACTTTTACCCAAGGTTTTCTTTTGTTTTAGTAATGAAATTTTTTTAGAGCAAAACTATGTCAGATTGAATTTTTCGCACATGGTGTATGTTATATAGGTGGAAACACTGATTATTAAATTAACAAAAAAATTATTATCTCTTCCCAAATTCTAATTTATTGTAAAGTTTTTGTAATTTGTTCTCTAAAAAATTTGTTTTAATAAATTTTTCTTTATTTTTGTAATAAAATTGGTCCTAAGACGTCATTTTGTCTTACGACATGAGTTCTTTATGCTATTGTATAAATTTTGCAAAAATTCTATAAAAAAAATTAATTTTATACGTTATATTTAATTTGATCGAATTTTACTTTAGATAGTTGGTATCACAGTCATTGGTTTGACAGTTAATGTCAAGATCGATTCGCCATGCCGTCCTTAATTTACTTAGTTACAATAAGCGGCTGTTAATGTTAAAGAATAAAAAAAGGATTTTCTTTAGTATTAAACAAAATTTATTGCCAGAAAAGTCTCGTAAGTAGGTACTAGAAAAATCATAAAAATATTATAACCAATATGCAAAATATTGCTGTTTAAAGTATAGCCAACCTAAAAAATTAAAATTTTGGTTGGGATAAGGTACCTTATTACAGCACCGAAAGCGGTGTTACAATGAAGTCATTATGAACGCAAAATATATAAAGTGTTTTTTTTAAGTGGAATAATGTTTCTCGTAATTACTGGGTGATTCCATATAAGCTTGCTATGCTATTTGACACCGAATATTATTCTAGCAATTACATTTTTAGAGCGAAAATTAAAGTATTTATGATTATTTAAAAACCACCCCTGTAATTCACCATCTATAATCAACCATATTTGTTAAAAATGTACTAATAATAAAGCCATACTTAAAAACAAAAAAAATTACATTATAAAATCAATTTTTTTTTTGAGGGGTCGCTAATATGAATTCTTGAAAATATACTCTTAAAAACTGACATAGTAGGCCTTGTATTTTGTAAAATTATGGCCTTTTTGCTCCAAAAATACAGTTTATCAAGATCTACACATAATAAATAAAGATTTAAAGGGGTGAGTCGCAAAGAAATGGGTCACACTGTATTTTATATCGCGGTGCGACAGTTAGGATTTTGTAACAAAACAAAACACTTTTAATATACATACATATATCGCCTTCTATTAAAAAAAATAAAAAACATACAATAACAATAAACAAAAACAAATTCAAATTTTAAAAACAGCCTATAAAAGTCCCGTCAAAATCGATTCAGTCGTTTCGGAGCAGAGACTCTGTTTCGGAGATTAGCCCGGACAAACATTTTAACACTTCAATTTTATTTTTATGTATAGATTTAATTATAATTATTAATAACTGTAACGTTTCAGTAAAGAAAGCCATAGGTAAAAGCCATATTATTAATTTTTAATTTGTAAAACCGATTTTTTAAATGAACATAAACATTCTGTTATGATTAAAATCTATGCTTAAAAAATATAATAATTATTATAATATAACAATTTAAATATTTCTAACAAATAAGGTTCCTAGTTTAACTTTAACTAAAAAGCACAAATATCCATAACTAAATTACACTGTTACTATGGAAATTTTACTAAACGAACAAGATTGTAATTTTGCTCAACAAATTATATAATTATGTATTATATTCATTTAACAATTTAACAATGATGTATTGAAAATTAAAAATTAAAAACACGTAAAGTATTCAATTATAGTATAGTATTATGTATCAAGTTTTTATAAACGCCATTTTAGTTACGAGATTTATTAGGCACGAGCGAAGCTTGCGAGCGAGTGTTTAATAAAAACGAGTGTCTAGAGAAGTTTATAAAACGAGTTGCATTTTATTTTTTATTTACGACGAACGGAAATAGGAATTTAAAGCTAATTTTAATTTATAAATATTTGAAATGTGACGAATTTAACCTTACTTTTTCGAAATTTATAATAAAGCTAACTTTAGTCCTTGGCTAAAATGCCTTTAAGTCACAGCTCGTCAACGTAGGAGTAAATAAAGGTATTAAATTATATTTACCCCAAAAAAAATTTTGGCTTAATTTATTACATCGGACTGTAAACTTGTTACATTCAAACAACTTCTACAACTGCTTTCTCTTTTTCAGGGAAGGCAACCACCCGGACGATTACAGCCGCCTCACCTACAAAAAACTCCTTGAAGAGGTTTGCAGACTATCGAATGTCCTTAAAAGTAAAGGAGTGCAAAAAGGCGACCGAGTTGCTGTCTACATGCCCATGATCCTTGAAGCTGTAGTCACAATTTTGGCGTGCGCAAGGATAGGAGCCGTACATTCACTGGTCGTAAGTAACCTTATAAATTGTAAAAAAGTATACGCTTACTGTTCTTAATGCTTAGTAATATATTTGGACGTTTTTTTTGTAATTTTTTGTCATCTGTCACTTTTGACATCTGTCATTTCTTGAGAACTGTCATTTTTGACATCTGTCATTCTTGAGAACTGTTTTATTTAAAAATTAATAATTTTTCTAATTACTAATTTATTCTTAAATGTTTAAAGTGTTCTCCATTTACTTTCAAGCATTTCTTAATTCGTACTTCTACATTAGGCGTTGCTCTTCTAAAATATTTCATAAAATAGATTTTACCTTTTATTGTCTCCAATGATCTAGTGCTTCATCTATAGATCTATAGATCCTACAGCTACAGCTACATCCTACAGCTTTGTTAATTTTTTTTCAAAATTAGCAAATACTGTTTGTATTACTTTTAAATTTTAAAAATGTTTGGCTTGTCTATTTTTTTATAAGTCACTGGGTGCTATTTTTCATCAGTAATTTTGTTTACTAAAAATTTAGTCAACAAATTGTTTATAACCTCGTTTATAAATAACACTACTATTTGATTTTCTTAAAACATATCGGGTGTTTTTAAAACAAAACAAAAAAGTTATTAATTTTCCAAGTTAGAGCCTAATTTGCCCTGGGTTTTTTCAGGTAATTTGTTGCAAAATGTTCAAGAATTATCATGGAATATTTTAATCAATGTTTTAAGATTCCAAAAACTCTACTGCCTTATCCGCAAAACCAATAACACAAAAGTTATAGGCTATTTTTATATATAAAATAACAAAGTTGATGTCACTTGTGGGTAAACCAAAAGTGGCATTTTGTTTAAAATATTTAAAAAAAATTATAAACGCATTTCAAATTTCAACCGGTTTTTACTTTCACACTGTATTTTGTAAAATAGTCCATACTTCTTGCATTTTTGGCCTATAAAACTGATTTTACTTTAAAATTGAAATTAAAAAAGTTATAGTAAAAAAAAAATAAAAATACTAATATTATGTTTCTCTATTACATATCCTATATAAATATAATATATATCCTATATAAATATAATATAAATATTTAATCAATAAAAACAAACAAATTTTTAGGATGCGGAACACATATGTATCCGGTAGATAGTTGAACTTGAATTGTAAGCAGAGTACTTTTTAATTTATACCTTGTACTTAATATTAAATGTCTCGATATATCAGCAAGAACAATGTCCTCGGTAGTTTTTATAACAATGTATACATGTTACCAGAGCTTATAGCTGTTTCCGTAGATTAAGATAGTGATAATAAAAACAATAATATATAATATAAAATAATAATTAAAGGCCTTGGTGTGTAACTAAATAAAAAATATTGGCATAAGTCAGTTTATTATTAAAAACAAAGTATAGTCGCGTTAAGGTCTATTCATACGTGCTCAGGCACAATCTAACGCTCGTGTATATACAATATTGTTGACTGTTTATAGGAGTGGGAGCTGTTTATTAAGATGAAATTTTAACATAATTGTTATAATCTTCCACACTAATTGCCTTAAGCTATTAGCAACTGGCACACACAAAAATTACTAGGTGAAGGATTTTATTTTCATAATTTGAAAAAAACGTTTTAAAACAGTGAAATTGTTAAGCCTGAATTATAGATTGCCTTCCTTCCTTCCTCCCGTAGTCGTGCCCGTACGATTTGTGCGTCTTGTAAAAAGTCAATTTATAGATTTCCGTGTAAAATTCCGTAACCATGCGCGATGACACCTAAAATGGTTGACATTTGTTTTTGTTCATATTCTGCGTTTTACCCATTGTGTGTAAATATGAAAGATAAACATTTATATAGTGCAGTGCACAATTTTAATTGCCCAGGCAGCTTGTTGTATACTGCCCAACTATGGAGAAAAGCAGTAAATTTGTGGGAAATTAGCATAAACTATATTTTTTATAAAAAGCAGTAGGTATTTAATAGATTTATTTAACTTAAAAGATAGTTTACTGCATTTCATTGTTGAATTAAGATACAAAATGTCCATAGCTTTATCATAGCACAAGCATTTAGCATTTAGAATTTTTTTGTATTTACTGCCTTTCTCCATAGTAGGGCAGTATAATGAAAAAAAAACATCGAACAAGACGTTGGAAGACTCGCTCACTTTACCAAGACTGGAAAACTACGGGTTTTTACAAAACAACGTTTCTAAAAATGAAAGACATTGATCATAAACAATATCTAAATATCCTATTTAGAGACACAAATTATTTAATAAACTGAACACCTATCTTAAAATTTAATAATCATGTATTTTAAATATTTTGTGCCTACGCGCTGTCACCCTACAGCGCTTGTCCATAACAAGCACTGTGATTGGTCATGTCAAAGACCTTTACGGTGAAAGATAAAACTTAAAAATTTCTACGGGAGGAAGGAATGCTGTCCTTACGGTACGGGAATCTTTAAATGGCACTACGATTTAAATAAACATTTTTGACGTAATTGTCACCATTAACATTGCCCGTTATCAATTTTAATTAAACTTAACAATTATTGAAACTTTAAAATATTAAAATAACTTATTAAAATATGATTTTGTTAAAATAGTATATTACACTACAAGGGCAGAAAGTGTGAGATTCCTGCACTGCGCATCATGGCGCGCAGTTCAGGGCTCTCACACTTTCTGCCCGTGTAGTGTATACTATTTTTCTTACTACCTCGGCCGAAAATACAACCCGGCCGAAAATACGGAAAAAAATTAAATGTGTATTTATGTACCTATCTCCATTTGAAGAGCTTGATAAATAAATAACAGTAGGCCGTGAATTCAGCGGTGCCAATACAGTAAAAATAAAACGTTGTATTTTAATTAACAAATTACTACTTTATAACAAATAAAAGTACTATTAAACACTTAAAACAACATAAAAAGTAAAAAAGTAAAAACATAAATTGTTTATTTGTTGTTATAATTGCAAAATTATGGTTTAAAACTGTCATATTTTTGTGTTTCTCATGTTGGCAGTACGAAATTTGAATGTTAAGCACACGACTAAAAAATTTTTACTCCCGCTATTAGAGTGTGCGCGTATAGCTTGACCAATGCATAAAACATAAACTTTCTGCCGTGGAATCGGGGACGAAACAACGTATTTTGAGTCGAGGTAGTAAGAAATAGTATATTACACTACAAGGGCAGAAAGTGTGAGATTCCTGCACTGCGCGCCATGATGCCCGAGGCGAAGCCGAGGGCATCATGGCGCGCAGTTCAGGACTCTCACACTTTCTGCCCGTGTAGTGTATACTATTTTTCTTACTACCTCGGCCGAAAATACAACCCGGCCGAAAATACGGGAAAAAATTAAATGTGTATTTATGTACCTATCTCCATTTGAAGAGCTTGATAAATAAACAACAGTAGGCCGTGAATTCAGCGGTGCCAATACAGTAAAAATAAAACGTTGTATTTTAATTAACAAATTACTACTTTATAACAAATAAAAGTACCATTAAACACTTAAAACAGCATAAAAAGTAAAAAAGTAAAAACATAAATTGTTTATTTGTTGTTATAATTGCAAAATTATGGTTTAAAACTGTCATATTTTTGTGTTTCTCATGTTGGCAGTACGAAATTTGAATGTTAAGCACACGACTAAAAAATTTTTACTCCCGCTGTTAGAGTGTGCGCGTATAGCTTGACCAATGCAAGAAACGTAAACTTTCTGCCGTGGAATCGGGGACGAAACAACGTATTTTGAGTCGAGGTAGTAAGAAATAGTATATTACACTACTAGGGCAGAAAGTGTGAGATTCCTGCACTTCGCCTCGGGCATCATGGCGCGCAGTGCAGGAATCTCACACTTTCTGCCCGTGTAGTGTATACTATTTTTCTTGCTACCCCGCAGAAAATACGGGAAAAAATTAAATGTATATAAAAAAACTTGTGTCAAAATTAAAATCTGACGTTTAATTTAATTCTGACTTTTACATTCAAAATCAAACAAACTGTAGCGTTGTCATGGTAATTCAGCGGTGCCAATACAGTAAAAATAAAAGGTTGTATTTTAATTAACAAATTACTACTTTATAACAAATAAAAGTACCATTAAACACTTAAAACAACATAAAAAGTAAAAAAGTAAAAACATAAATTGTTTATTTGTTGTTATAATTGCAAAATTATGGTTTAAAACTGTCATATTTTTGTGTTTCTCATGTTGGCAGTACGAAATTTGAATGTTAAGCACACGACTAAAAAATTTTTACTCCCGCTATTAGAGTGTGCGCGTATAGCTTGACCAATGCAAGAAACGTAAACTTTCTGCCGTGAAATCGGGGACGAAACAACGTATTTTGAGTCGAGGTAGTAAGAAAAAAATATTTTCTCCTTTAATTTTTTTTATTACTATAATTGCAAAATATTATCACAAAGTATTAAAAATTCTTACACGAGAAATGTTAAAAATGTTTATTGGGTTTCGTATTGTTCATCTTCTACGGAAGGAAGGAAGGAAGGAAGGAAGGAAGGAAGGAAGGAAGGCAATCTATAATTCAGGCTTTACGCATTAAAAAGCAAATTTAATGTCAGTAACTTTAAAATTCAAAGTTGGTAGTGCTGAAGTCATTATATCGCATTGATGACGTGCACCCATACAGATTGGGCCGCGACTAAATCAATATTTTTTTTCAGTTTGCTGGATTTTCCGCTGACTCATTCGCAGAAAGAATCCTGGACTGCGAAGCCAGAGTCCTCATCACATCGGACGGCGTATGGAGGGGGGAGAAGCTTCTTCAACTAAAAAATATCTGCGACCAATCCATGGCCAGATGCGCACAAAAAGGGCACAACGTGGAGACATGCATTGTCGTGTCCCACCTACAAAGGGTGACGGCTCCAAACGGAACTCAAATCAAAACAAACAAGGTAAGGAAGTCCCCCCTTTTAGAGCATTTGAAACTCACAACTGTTTAAATAATTAATTATATTCCATAGTGAATTTGTTCCTTCTTTGCTTCATATTATTTAATAGTAATCAGCTGTCAAACGAGTGTTTTTGAGAATTTGAGAATAAGGCTGGAAAATCATGGGTTGAGTTTTTTTCGGTTTCCCAATAAACAGTGGAAATCCGAATGAAGAAATAAATTGCATATCTACAGTCCCTGTAAATATAAATTGTACCTATTAGATACAATAAATACAAATTTTACTAATGATTTACCTGAAAATTGTAAACATTTTAATTTAGTAAAAATCAACGGTAAAAGACCAAAACCGGGTATTATATTACGCATTATATATAATATTATGTTGAAATGAATTCGTAGATATATTTTCTCGTTTACTATTTTTTAGAGGAAATATAAAAATGTTTTATTTTTAGGTTATGTTTGTACAACTATTATTTTTTGTTAGATGTCTTAAAAATGTCAAAATTTAAATATAAATTATGTTACAAAGCAAAACATGAAAATGCAACGATTTAGTCTTGAATTATATTCACAATAATTATTAAGAACACAATAATTCACCATGATTACTTAGATAAAATACACACACTAACTTAATGATTTAAGTGTCCAATTGAACAAAATTTGTAAAAAAAACTACTTATTTATTTAAAAATGATGTGCCGTTCGTATGCTTTAAATGTAATGTTGACAATTCTTGAGTTCACACAATTCTTAAGCGCATTATACATTATAATTATTATATAATTTTTTTTGATTCCTCCAATTTTTTTATATTTTTTAGTACTCCTTGAAAGAGCTTTCTCAGTATTGATGATTTTTTTAATCACGGGTTCAAATAAAATTTTCAAAAAAACTGCTTTTTTTGTTTTTCGCTCATAACTTCTTAAAAAATGGTCCAAATCAAAATGTTCATTCTATATAAAATTTTCGTTTTTAAATGTGATTTTCGAAAAAAATATATTGAAAATATTTGAAGCGTTTTAAGTCAAGATTTTTGAGTTTTAAAGTTTAAATCGTGTTTTTAAAAATGTGTCTTCTTTGATTTTCGCGAAAATTTTTTATTTTCAACTTCTATCTATTCAACAACAATTCAGCCTGGTCCGGTAGTGGGCCTTCCATAATTATTATTTTTTTCGATTTTTCAAAATTCTCCAAAAATTATTATAAGTTTCGAAAAAAAATACTAATTATGGAAGGCCCACTACCGGACCAGGCTGAATAGTTGTTGAATAGATAGAAGTTGAAAATGAAAAATTTTCGCGAAAATCGAAGAAGACACATTTTTAAAAACACGATTTAAACTTTAAAACTCAAAAATCTTGACTAAAAACGCTTCAACTATTTTCAATATATTTTTTTTTTCGAAAAACCTAAATTTTATATAGAATGAACATTTTGATTTGGACCATTTTTTAAGAAGTTATGAGCGAAAAACAAAAAAAAGCAGTTTTTTTGAAAATTTTATATCTTTTGAACCCGTGATAAAAAAAATTGGAGGAATCAAAAAACAATTTTTTGAAACCAAATTGACAGTAATATTTATTATTGATAATTTACTTGTTAATTATTATATTATATCGAGATAAAAAGATAACTATGCCAAAAATGATATCAGATTCTAAAGTAAAAGAACTTTGCCTCAATGGCAGTACATCGCCTTATGGACATTTTTGAAGTAAAAAAGTAACAAATATTAAATCACACATTAAATATCCATTTACCATTTGAGTCCAATGATTGGACAACATTCACGGGTGTTCAGATACAATTTTAATTTCTTTTATATAAATTCTTTTCAAAGCAAAGATTATTATCCGCTAGGAATACTTTGTCTCTCCTGGGCCACCTATATTTAACTACTTTTTTATATGATTTTAACCTACAATAATTTGAACAATTACATTATAATTACATTTATAACTATAGTTCAGTTTGTTTTAATTAATGCAACCAATTTTTAGTTCCGTATTTACCAACCAAAACCCTAAATTTGCAACGTTGCCGCAGTCCAGATAAAAAAAATAACTTTAGGTATCATAGAAAAATAAAAAAATATTGTTGCAATTTAAAAAGTCAAATGAACGATTTTCACTCTAAATTAAATCAGATTAACAATAATCACTACAGAGAAATTAATAGTCAGTGAACCTTGACCACTTAATTGTTATAAATTCAAAGACCTGTACCTTAACAATTAAATGACATTCCATTGTTATAATTTTTATTTATAGGGAAAAATGCCAATTTACAATGCAAAATTACACTTGCTTAATAAAAAGAAAATTCGCATAGAAAGAAAATATTGATTTACGGTACCTACTAACAATAATTATAATTATGATTAAACAGTTTCGTCAACAAATTTAATCAAAATTGTTTAATTTACTGTGCCCTTCAAAGTTCATTTTTTTGGCCAAAAGAGATCCCCATTATCGTAAGGTCGAAAGTTCACTTGTAGGAATACGCAATTTTAACGTTTCGCGTTATTTGTACAAACAATTCACGTGCTATTACGTAAAGAAAAAACTAATAGTAATAATAATGCTGTGCAAAAACCTTACGTCGATACCTAGACGCGTCAAACTTTATTATTGTCGACACTCAATACTAAACTAGGCTGTCAAAATCATTTAGACCAATCGGGTAAAGTTTTTACCTCCTTGTCTGTAAAAAACCCGTTCGCACCAATCAAAAAATTCGAAATGTCAGATATACCTAACCTTACTTTATACTTTTAAAAATTATAATTATTGTACGTTTTATGTATCTTTTAACAAATTTACTATTTTTTTTATTTTTCTTACTCGTCATCTATTATTATTTCTACTAACACAGTGAGTTTAAAATATATTTATACTTATTATAATAATCCTTATAAGTATAATTGGTGAATATGGCATATTTGGAAATTATTAAATGATATATTTAATAATTATTATTATAAATTTTTGAGGAGATAAATATTCATCACTGTCTAGATAAATTATAAAATACAACAAAAGTTAATCGTAATTTGATTATCCGCATAAACATCATAAGGATAAGATAATAAAATTTATAAATGATGGATTAAATATTAATCAATTAAATCGGACTAGTCATAAAAACTATTACCAATATTGGATCAATTCGTTATTTAAATAGATAATATTAATAATCAGGTTTTAGCAATAATGCATTGTATTTATTAACCTAGTTTAACAAAGCGGTTTAAAAATTTAGATTTTAAACGCTTATGCAAAAAAAAATTTAAATTATTTAAATAAAAATTATGTACGTATGAAAATAAATTACCGTAGGTACGGTAATAAACCTAATACATTACATATAAAAATAATGCGGTATTAATCAAAAACTATAAATTTGGTTTATTCATAGTCAATTTAAACTTTTCAAATAACCTAGTTAAAATTGACCATAAGTAAACCAAATTTTTAACCAGTAGGTAATATTACTTAAACTGTAAAAAGTAGGTTATTTTAGAAGTTACATATCGTTATATTAACTTCTCATTTTAACCTTTGAAAATGGTTAAGACTAGCTATTTATTTAGACATATTTTGTTTTAATAAAAAAAATAAAAATTGTTATCATATACCTTTTAATCCCTTAATGCGATATAACAATTATTGTAATCTTGAATATCTCGAAAACGGTTTATTTTAAAAGGTACACCTTTTTATTAGTAGCCGAACTGAGTAAACGAAAAATGTCATTAAATTTTATAAAAACCTAACCTCAAAGTTTCTATAGGACAATAAGGTTAGAAAAACCCCTGATTGTACGACACTGTGGTCACTCAAACAATTGAAATTATGTGTATTGGTAGTAAGGGGATGTTCTTAAAATATCACCTTTCCAAGTCTACCATATGGTATAGTACCTATATACTAGAAGTTATATTAAAAAAACTGATATGATATGTAACACTTTATCACCCTGTATCTTGGAAACACGGAAATTACGAAAAATATTTATTTATGTTTTCGTCTTATTTTGATCCTAAAATCGCCATATTGTTTGCTGTCAATTCTAACAAAAGGAAATGCCATTAATTTTAATAATTTGTTTTACTCCAAAAATAAGGTAAATTAAACAAAGTAATAATAAAACATAATATTATTTTATGTTCAAAAGTATTTTAAATCAATTTTAAACAAAATAAAAAAACAGGCAACAAAATATTTTTTTTTTAATTTTTTACCTATAAATACATACAGGGTGAGTCATTAAACTTCAAACTTTGAAATATCTCATTTAGTATGCATTTTATGAAAAAATGTTTGAAATAAAAATTAAATGATTCGAGGGGGGAAATCAATAAAACATTTTTTCATATTTGTAATAGATGGCGTTGTAATGAAAAAAAAATCAATTTTGTTCAATTTTTCTATTGTATTAACACTGCTCTGGGATATTCAAATCTCTAGATAATTCTCGTGTGCTGGCATGGGGATTAGCGGCCGTTGCTGCTAATACATTTATTTCATTACTTCCACCTGTGACTGTTGCTAGACGAACACTTTTTTTCGGTTGAACACTCCCGTTTGTAGTAAACTGCTTGACTGTACGGTGAAATGAAGTACGTGATCGAATTTTATCCGGAAAACGCTGAGCGTAGATATTAACAGCATCATCAAGATTCCTGCCTGCTTCTCTATAAATCAAAATCATTTCTATTTTTGCTTTCACTGTTAAAAAATCAAATTAATCAGATTAAAGCAAATTAATCTTCGAACTAAATTGATTAAATAATGCTGAACTACATATAAATAGTTTCTTTATACCTTAATAATAATTTTATTTATAACTAAATACCATTTTTTAATACCTCAATTAGGATTAAATTAATTAATTGACAAAATGATGTTTTTTTACCTAAAATTTATTAAAAATAGTACAATAATCCTTTAAATTAAAGGATTTAATGCTGGCAGGCAATTGATAATTATCACCGAATTAAATAATGTATGAAACTTAAACCAAAGTAAACTTAAATATTAGTTAAAAAATGGTGGATACTTAAAAAAATCAGATTTAATTTAATAAGATAATTATTACCAAAAAAGTGATATTTTTATAGAAAAATTATTGCACAATCGCATACAGAAGAAAAATCGAACAAAATTGAATTTTTTTTCATTACAGCGCAATCTATTACAAATATGAAAAAATGTTTTATTGATTTCCCCCCTCGAATCATTTAATTTTAATTTCAAACATTTTTTCATAAAATGCATATTAACTGAGATATTTCAAAGTTTCAAGTTAAATGCCTCACCCTGTATATGAGTATTAATATTTAGGATCGTAGGTCATATCTAGAGATATACTTATAAGTATATATAACCAAATGTTGTATATTATTATTATATAGAGTTAAAATAAACTTAAACCGGTTAATTATAGTTTAACTGGACCAAAAACTACCAAATATTAACTTATTTTTAACCAAAAGGTACATAACCAAGAAGTTAAATTTAACTAATATAACGTTAATTTTACCTTAACTGGGTTTCCCACTTATTACAAAATAACGTTAAGTTAAGGTTAATTTAACGTTGTAGTACAATATAACTTAAATTAATTAACCAGGCATAACGTAAATTTAACGTTAATTTAACCAGTTGTGCTACTTGGCATATGCAACAAATCAAGCCACTGAGCCTACAACACTGATAGCAAATTTTGATTCTAAGAATCTTCTAAGAAGATATGACCCGGAATAATGGAATATTCTTAGAACCTTCCCTTATTGTTAAGAATGTTCTTAGGGACTTTTAAAACATTCAATAGATACCCTTTTAATGATGCAATTAGATTCTTAAAAGCTTCTTAAAACCTTCCTAAAAAGCATTCTAAGCCCTGCTTAAAATACCCCATAGAGACCTATACAAAATAATCTATCGGGCGCTACCGGATTCAATATGTGCATTTGTCCATGGTTTTTTCCGGATACAGCCCGATAGAAAATGTATAGGAAATTACCTATAGGCACACCATATCTTTTACATTTTCCCTATTGAGACCGATAGAGCAACCATAAAACATTTGACAAAATTTTATTAAAACCTATGGGGTCCTATAGGGGAAAACCTAATTTCTACATTTATGTGTATTTTCCCCATTGAAACCGATAGCAAATAAATCAACGGTGGATATCCCTATAGAACAACCATAAATCTCAACTATGGGTCCTATACAAACCGATACACCCTATAGAAACACCATACATCCCGGTACAAATATCTATCGGTTTGAACAGGGACTCTATGGGGTATTTTAAGCAGGGAGAACATTTTAAGAATACGTTTTTGGAATGTTCTTAGAAGGTTTCTTATGGAGCTTCTAGGAAGCTTTTGAGAATATTTCCAAATATGTCAGATACCCACGTTCTAATATGTTGGATTCTACATTCGTAAAATTCTTCAGGAGGCGACAAATGCACTGTCATAATATGACAGTGAAATGTATTTGTCGTCCCCTTAAAAAATTTTGCGACCTATTAATATATATTTATTTAAAAATATTAAATAAACAATTTGACCTTTAAACCATAAGTTGTATGACATTATTTCATAAAAAGTAAAATTGGAAAGTTTTGTGGGATAAGTCAGATTAGATTGAAGTTGAAGATAGTTAGGATTATTATACATAAAAATGTTAATTCAGATATAAAAAATCGGTATACAAATTAATAAATATATATTTTTAACATAAAATAAAATATAAAAAACAAAATATTTCCTTATAAAATAATTCTTCATAAAAGAAAAAACCAAATAGTTCTTCATAAAAAAAACATTTTTCATTGTATTTAAGTTGGATAGAAGGTTTTATGTAAAAGCCGGATAATTTAGATACCTATAGTAAAAGTATTTTTGTTATCGAATATTGTTTTAATTTGACAAATAACTATAAAAAAATATTTTGGTTGGTGTTTTTTATTTAGTATTTAATACTAAGTATAGGTACCTTTATACGTAGATTATGGTATATTTTACTATTATATAGGTACCTAACTGAACTGAATATGCTTAACAGAATGTTCCAGCAATATTCCTAAATGAACTTTCTATAGCAATTACTTTCTCAACATTCTAAGCATATGTTTAGAGTGGATTAATTTTTACCACTAAACTTTGCACCTTCTAAGAACCTGCGAGAATATTCTTAGGATTATGCTATATTTCTTTTAAGCATGTTCTTTAGAAGAAATATAGCATTATCCTAAGAATATTCTCACTGGAAGGTTTAAAAAACATTCTTAAAACATGACTAGAAGAAATATAGCATGATCCTAAGAATATTCCCACTGGAAGGTTTAAAAAACATTCTTAGAATAAACTGTGCTATCAGCGAAAAGGCTCAAATCCAATTTCTTAAAAAAATGCTTAAAACTATCTTCTTTGGCAGACCCCAATGCAAGAAGGCAGAGACGTCTGGTGGCACGAGGTGGTACCGCAAGCTTCGACAAGCTGCTACCCGGAATGGATGCAAGCCGAAGACCCGCTTTTCATGCTGTACACGAGCGGCTCCACCGGGAAACCCAAAGGGGTTCTTCACACTACCGGAGGGTACCTTTTGTACGCCGCCACCACCTTCAAATACGTGTTCGATTACCACCCGAACGACGTCTATTGGTGCACCGCCGACATCGGTTGGATCACCGGACATACCTACGTGGTCTACGGACCTCTGGCTAATGCCGCAACTTCAGTATTGGTAAGTTAAATAAAGCAATATTCTACAATATCGACGAACTTATTATGTACTATCTGAATACCTGGCATAACCTACATTTTTGAAATCCTATCACATGCACGTTGGTGTCGGATAATTTACTTGGATTTATTGAAATATTTTATTCTTTCATTATTTTTGCTAATCGGATAAAACACTTGAGGAAGTGCATTCCAAAACGGCTTATGGGTATTTTTCAAAAAGTTGGCCAAAATAGGAATTTTATTTAAAAAATTATAATTATTATAAATTAAATATATTACATATTATTTCTATAGAATAATAATCAAGTATTGAATATTTTATGCTTGTCATACATGATACGAACTAGATTGTATTTTTTTACGAATTTTCATCTTAGGAATAATAAATGTTGTCTTTTCCATGACACCAAAATAAAGGGCATTACAAATTTTCTTTAACGATTTCATCTTCATTCTGTGCGTTTAAAATTTTCTCGAAATATAGTTTTTGGGTGATAAAACCAAAATTTTCATGTTTGACGCAAGCACATGTTTTGCGATCTTTAGCTTTAGGATAAACTACTCAGAATGGTTTACATCTAAAGAAATTGGTGGAAGAAACTGATACTCTAGCAAGTGTCACAGAAAAGACTACGCACTCATATATTAATTAATTATTTCTAATTTACACCTATATATACCTATAATTAATATATGAGTGCGTAGTCTTTTCTGTGACACTTGCTAGAGTATCAGTTTCTTCCACCAAAATGTTTATAAACATAATAGTATATTATGTATCAGTGGCGGCTCGTGGCAGTAAAATTTGTGAGTTCTGCCAGTGGGGTTTAAAAAAATGTGGCGCAGTGGGCATTTAATTAAATGGTACCTACAGTTAATTAATTAAATCATAATTAAATCATACACCACATTCATTCTTACAAAAGAATACAACAACAAACACAAAAATACAACGAATTAACAGTCTTCTAGTTAAAATAACAAACGTGAACGCGAAGCGAAAAACAAACGACCGGGAAGTAGGAACTGTATGTTGGTGCAGCTCCGGTTTGGCTTAAATTTCACTATCTTAACCTAGGGCCAAGAGCGGCGCGGAGCAAAATTACGGTATTGAAATGGGAGCCAGAACTCGAAAGTGGCCCAGCTTTGTTGTATTGTAAGCGTTAAGCGTTAGAGACCTTTACCGGTCGTTTGGATGACTGTAGTGGCCAAGTACGGCGAATGTTTATAATAAAAACTTTTTATGCAGCCATGCGTTTGAAATATTCATACACTGTCGCACTTAAATATTAAATAATTAAAAAATTAGTCAAGTAATAAGAAAATTTTGGGAGTTCTGCAGCTCTGCAGCCCTTATGCACTAGCCGCCCCTGTTATGTATCAAGTTTGATAAACGCCATTTTATACACGAATTTAATTTTGGCACGAGCGAGTGTCTAATTAAATGTGTGTCTAGAAAAGTTTATTTATAAATGAACCGTTTAATCCGATATAGAAGCAGTTTTTCACTGTGAAAGTAAAGAAAATGTTTTATTGATGAAGTCTCCACACATTTAGTATTATTTTACAAAAAAGGCACTTTATTTTAACGATTGTATGACATTTGACAACTGTCAACTAACTTCAGCCCGTGACTAAAAACCTGTTGCCAACTTCAGCCCGTGACTAAAGCGCCATAAAGCCACAACTTGTCAATGTTTATTTAAAAGGTTACTTAGTTTCATGGAAACATGTACGATAAAGGGCGTTTTAAAGGTGGGAGTAGAAAATAGTATGCACTAGGCACGAGCGAAGCTTGCGAGCGAGTGTTTAATAAAAACGAGTGTCTAGAGAAGTTTATAAAACGAGTTGCATACTATACTTTATCTACGACGAACAGAAATAAAGACAACTTTATTTCATAAAATTTGACATTTAACAAATTTAACCTCACTTTTTCGCAATTTATAATAAAGCTAACTTCAGCCCGTGACTAAAATGCCCAAAAGCCACTGTTATTAACTTCAGGCCCTGACTAAAATGCCATAAAGTCACAACCCGTCAATGTAGGAGTAGATAAAATAATTTACTTTACCCTTGTTTAACTTTGACACGTACTACAAACTACAATAGATATTTTACCTTGTTGAGAAAGCATTGCCGAGTTGTGAATTTTATATTGTGGGAAAATAGCGTCACGGATTGGACATTTTAAATTAAGGGACATCAACTAAAATGCTTCTCACAAAAATGTTTTAGGTTCTTTTTTAAACAAAAATTAGTTAATAACTGTATAGACTTCTACAAATTAAATAAAAAATATTTTACTTAAGTAATTATGACTGCAGAAACAATATTTTTCCAGCAGTCAGTAATGTTGCTGGGGACAGTTACAGATTGGTCATTTACTATATTTTAAGGTAATTTTAATACATTTTCTATACCTTATTGAGAGATTTTGTACATAATTTAAAGAGCCTTAGGATTGTTTTATCAGATCTATTCTTCACTTTTCATTTTAGTTACGAATATATTAAGTTCTAACCTCAGGACAGCAAGTGGCCAACTTTTTGAAATATACCCTTATCCATATTAGTTTTTTTTAACAAAATGTCAAAAACATTACACCTTGAAGGGTACCCTGACTTTCAAATAAAGTAACTTACATTATGTTCTAATTTATTATTGATAAAGAAATATCATACATCTGTCATGTTGTTTGTTATTAATTCAGATAATAAACAAATGATTGTATGTGTCTAGCGGGGGTCAATGCAAATTATTTATATTTCTTTGTAACATATAATTTAAAACAAATATTCACTACTAGATGTAAAAACTTGTAGTAGTCTGTCTTAAAATTAAAAACGAACTTTTGACTTTTTTATAGAAGTAAATTTAGTTATATCGCATTAGTTCAGACTCAGGGATATGTAGTATCATTTTGTACGGGCATTTCTGGGACACCCTGTATAATCAAATAACTTATATATGTATAAAAATACAAGTATGTAAAAAAAAATAATTAAATAATAATTATTTATAATAAGTTACAGTGAAAACTACGCAAATATATTATCAATAGTTTGTTGACACGTTTTGATCATTGGGTACACGTGGTTAACAATAATTTATTTTTTTTAGTATGAAGGTACTCCTTTTTACCCTGACAATGACAGATTCTGGGAAGTTGTTTCCAAATATAAAGTATCTCAATTTTACACTGCCCCTACTGCTATCAGAGCCCTAATGAAATTTGACGATTCCTTAGTGAAAAAGTAAGTAATGTTGTGAATTAATCAGGACAACATTTTAATTATTTTTTTAGACATGATCTTTCAACTTTAAAAGTACTGGGTTCGGTGGGCGAACCCATCAACCCGGAGGCTTGGTTGTGGTACTACAGGCTGGTGGGACACGAAAAATGTTCCATCGTGGACACGTTTTGGCAGACGGAAACGGGGGGACACGTGCTGACCCCCCTTCCGGGCGCGTGTCCGATGAAACCAGGAGCTGCAGTAAGTATTAATTTCACTATGATAGTTTTAGAAAATTTTTTTTCCCAACATTAAGTAGGTACTCCAGCTTAGTTTAACTAATTTTGGGCCGCTGATTTCAAAAATGTCATTTGTTTTTCTCTAGGAGGTCTAGGATTTAAAATAATTTCGTAATAAAATGCTCTGCCCAATCACCTCAAAATGTAAGTTTTTTGTTAGTATTTTAATTATTTATTAAATTATTTTGGCTTAAATTTATATTGAATGTACTAAAGTAATTTTAATGTATTTTTATGTAAAAAACAACCATTATTTGACATTTTTTATCGTTTATTTTAATTATTGAATTGAAAGGGCAACAAAGTAAACAAGTTTCGGTATTTTTTATCCAAATTAAGCCCACAAAATTTAATGCATAGCATACTTTTGCTTTTTTCTACCTTAAATTTATTAAATCGTATCAAATATCGAATTGAATTATAGTATTATTGTGCTTAATCCTCATCATCGTCGTACATCTTTTGCTGCAAATTCCAGCAAATGTCTCCTAGCAATGAATCCAACTTCTTTCCGCTCTACCCATAGATATCTACCAATGCTCTAGATTTGCAGTTACTTGGTAAAATCGTTCTCCATGTTCATCAGTTCGGCAAATTTATCAGGATAAAAAAAAGAAAATGTACTTTAAATAACATATTAACGCTAATTCATTACAAAACGGAGAGCATTTTTTCAACGAATTGGCGCCAATTTTAGGCCCGATATGAACCAAGAACATTTTCAATGACTGCTTTAACACTGCCATATGCGACAAGCTCGTAAACTTTGAGAGCATTTTTGAATGCTTGATCTTTCATTAAACGTCGTGTGTCAGGTCCATTTAATATTCCTGCAAAATTAAAGTATCAAGTAGGTATATCTCATAAAATTTTGTAATGAAATATTGCGTTGGTTTTTCTTGGGCGTAAAGGTACCGCAACAAAAACAAAACAAATTTACAACGACGACATTAAGGTTCGTCTCCTTTCTCTTTCTCTGCCACTTTCATTTCCTGCTCTTTTTTCATTTTTGGTTCTTAAAATCACTTTCAAGTAAAAATACAATTTAAAGTTTAAATTTTAAATGTCAAAAATTAATAGATGCACTTTAATGTGCTTGAACGATAAATTAGGTAAAGGCGCCTTTATACTTCAATTCGATATAAATAAGTTTGGAGATTGAATTTTTGGGTACTTTAGGCGTGATGTGAATAAAAAAATATCAAATAATAGTCGAAGAGTAATGTTTATACCGAAACCCATTTACTTTTTGCCTTTTCAATTTAATTAGAAATTAAAAAAACGACACAAACATTTCAAAAAATTATACTTTTTACCAAAAAAAACATTATAATTTTAGTTTTGGTATTTAATACTACTATAGTATACGGCTACAATGAAACAAAAAAATTCTATTTGACATTTATCTACCGATGACTTTGTATGGATTCCCTGTATATACTGAACATCCAAAATAGATTTAAGGCAAAATAATTAAATAAATAATCAAAATATTAACGAAAAACTTACATTTTAAGATAATTGGGCAGAGCATTTTATTACGCAATTATTTCGAATCGTAGACGTTCTGGAGCAAAACGATAGTGTTTTTTATAAAAAATAGAAACGTCTCTTTCCTAAAGCTACGCAACCTCATTAACCTAATCGACGATATTCTTTGCAGTCTTTTCCATTCTTTGGAGTTCAGCCTGTATTACTGGACGAGTCCGGTAAAGAGATTAAAGGCGAAGGCGAAGGTTATTTGGTATTTTCGCGACCTTGGCCCGGTCTAATGAGGACCCTCTACAACAACCACGATCGATACGAATCGACCTATTTCGCAAAGTTTCCCGGATATTATTGCACTGGAGACGGTGAGTTTCATTTAGTTTTTCTTTAGAGAATTTAAATAAAATCCTTTATATTTTTTAAAAACTACTTAGTCTAGAACGCTTTTATATTGTAATGTAATTTAAAGCGATACTTATTAATAAATAAACTACCAAAATAAACATCTAAATTTTAAAAACAACATTGTTTTTCCTATTTATTTTTCTACGTGCTTTCTTTTATTTATCTTTTGGACGAATGCCAACAAACACAGAATATCGACGTTTTCGTTAAGTATTCTCTCTATAAATGCAAAGATAATAGAGCCATAAACCCAAATACCCTGCGTGGATAACATACCAATTTTTTTTCTATTATTAATAAAACTTCAAGATCAAATTTGTGGTAGGATAATTTAGGTCAAGAGTTTTAGAATAAATACCTCACTTGTACCTAAACTACAACTGATCCCTTTCTCTGTTAATTTTAAACCATGTTTTTTAAGTTCTGTATTAACTGATTTTCTACATTGTTTTGTTGTTTTTTCTTAAGTCCTATGCATTTCCATGTACTTTTCCTAATTGTTTTTTTTCACTTTTTCTTCTTCTGTAATTCTAGATAGTCTTTTTGCTATCCTTTTCCGTTCCACCTTTCAAACTAATTATACTAACCAAGTGACAAAACTCTTTACTTCTTCCATTTCTTCATTGCCTATATAATAATATCTTCGGTTTCGTTAATTGTTAGCAGTTTTGTATTTTTTATGTTATTTTTAAGACCTACTACCATACACTAAAACTGGATTTTTTGTTGGCGAGCTATAGGAGACCACACACGTAAAATGTTTATGTAGTGTGTGGGTTGCTTTAGACGCGAACAAAAAATCAATTTAAAGTGTGTGCAAAGCTTTATTTTTTTATTATAGTTAGATATTAATTTTTAAAATTTCCGAAAGTTTGCAAATTTTTTGATATTTTTAAAATACTGAGTTTCCAAAGTTGTTAATTCAAGTATATTAAAAAATAAAGCTTTTCACACACTAAAAATATTTTTTAGTTGAAGAGCTAAAGGAGACCATACACTTAACATTTGTATGTAGTGTGTGGGTTGCTTTAGACGAAAATGTTTCGTAATTTCCAAAAATTTTTCGCCAAATAAAAATCAATTTTAAGTGTGTGGAAAACTTTATTAAATATAATTAAAAATAAGTCAAAAATCTAATACTACTTTTTAAAAATTTTCACAATTTTTACAATTTTGGACTTCACACACTAAAAATTTCCAAAGATTTCTAAAATTTTCTCGCAAACCAGAAATCAATTTTAAGTGTGTGAATTAATAAAAAATTAAAATTTAATTTTTCACAACTTTCGCTAAATTTTTGATGTTTTTAAAATCTTTAAGTTTTCAAAATTATTTTATAATTTTACTTAAAAAATAAAGCTTTTCACACACGTAAAATCTGTATGTAGTGTGTGGGTTCCTTTAGATAAAAATGTTTCGAAAAATTTATAAATTTTCAAAATCTTCTCGCCAACAAAACATCAATTTGAAGTGTGTGCAAAGGTTTATTTTATTAAAGTTAAAAAGAAGTATAAAATCAAATATTAATTTTTAATTTTTGATATTTTTAAAATCTTGAGTTTCCAAAGTTTTTTTATTGTAATATAATTCTTATTTTCAAGTATATTAAAATAATAAAGCTTTTCACACACTAAAAATTTATTATTATTTATATGGAGACCATACGTAACATTTGGATACAGTGTGTAAATGTGATGGCTAAAAATCAATTTTAAGTGTGTGGAAACCTTTATTTATTCTTTTTTTACAATTTTAATTGAAAATAATCCAAAAATTAAATATTAATTTTTAAATTTTCAAAATTTTTGATATTTTTTTAAAATCCATAATTTTAGACTTAATTTCAATTATAGGGCCATTCCACGCGTAACGGATAGGACAGTTGCCGTGTTTTTATTTACAAAATAATATTGTTCTATTATATTACTGTAGCGAGTACCGCTCTGGATATCGGAGTGATGACTCATCGCTCGAATAATCGAGAGTGTGGAGCTCGCTGGAATGTTCCAGAAGACCTTGGCGCTGAATATATAAGAAACGGAGCAGCACACGGCAGTTAGTTGAGCTTTGACACTCGCGAAGAAATAAATAAATATAAGTGCAAATAAATAAACTAGTAGTGATATAAATAATTAGTAGTTAAGTGTTTAGTTAGTTTTATAGTGTTTTAAGTGTAGTGAAGTTATTAAATAAATAGTTTAGTTCGTTAATTAACCAGTGCGTGTTTTAATTCACACTACGAACAGTTAAAAACGTTACAATTGGTGTCAGGAGTGCGATTAGTGTGAAAGTTCGCGAAAATGGTTTCGTTAATGGACTTAAAAGTGGCGGACCTTAAGCGGGAGCTAGAAGAAAGAGAATGTGAAACAACTGGAAAAAAGAATGTGTTGCAGCAGCGGCTTCGAGAAGCGTTGGAACATGAGGGTGAAAATCCAGATACGTATTTATTTGAAGGTTCGTGTGATATGCATTTATTGTTGCAAAATTTGAAAGGTGATTTAAAACAAAACATTCTGGAAAATTCCAACGACTTACAAAATAAAATGCTAGAAAATTCTAAAGAACTAAAAGTCGATTTGCAACAGAAAATGTTGGAAAATTCTAACGAGTTACAACAGAAAATGTTAGAAAATGTCAACGATTTAAAGGATGATTTGCAACAGAAAATGGTGGAAAATTCTAGCGATTTGAAAATCGATTTACAACAGAAGATTCTGGAAAATGTCAACGAATTAAAGGACGATTTGCAACAGAAAATGCTAGAAAATTCTAAAAACCTAAAAGAATATTTGGAAGGGAAGATTCTAGATAATGTCAATGAATTAGAAGAAAAAGTGGGACAAAAAGTTGACGACGTAAGGATGGAATTAGAAGAGAAAGTTGTGCAGAAAGTTGACGACATAAGGACGGAATTGAATGAGAAATTGGAAGTCAAAATTAAAGAAATAAATAGTAAACTGACAGCTGTAAATCTACCCATGATACTGGCGGAACCAGGAACAATGCCGGAGGGAAGCCGAGTTCGGATGAAACCACCTCAGTTCGATGGAAAAACTTCTTGGACCAACTACATCCGTCAGTTTGAGGCAGCAGCAAAAGCAAATGGCTGGCTACCAGAAGAGAAGGCTACAGCATTGACTCTGGCTTTACGCGGAGATGCAACGGACATCTTGCAGACGCTTTCTCCCAACGAACAAGAAGATTACGAAGCGTTGGTGAAACATCTAGAACTTCGATATGGCCAGACACATCTGGAACATGTGTACCATTCCCAACTGAAGAATCGCTGCCAGAAATCAAACGAGACTTTACAAGAATTCGAGGCTGATATTGCACGCTTGGTTCGGCTAGCATATCCAGCTACTCCAACGACCGTTATGGAACGATTAGCGGTTCAAGCCTTTTTGGATGGACTTCGGGACAACGAAACAAGACAGGCTCTGACGTTGGCTCGTCCGAGCCAACTGGTTGATGCATTGGCCCGAGCTTTGGAATTTGAGGCGGCAAAGCAGAGCTGCAGGAGCCAGCATAGAATTAGGAGAGTCGAGGAAGAAAAAGAGGAGGAACCCAGTATAATCGAAGAAATCAGGCGAGTTCTTGAAGAGAATCTACCAGAAAAGAAGGAAATCCGATGTTGGAGATGTGGAAAGCTAGGACATATACGAAGTCGTTGCAGAGAAAGTCAGGCAGTGCCGACTTCGTCTCAGTCGGAAAACTAAATAGGGTCGAGGAAAAGGGGCAACCGTCGACCTGTAACCAACATGCCCCAGAGGATATCGAACGTGTCGCATCTCTTCTACATCAGTCCAGCAGTGTTTTTGTGGATGGCTTTATTAATGGAAAGTTACATGTGCTGCTGCTGGATACAGGTGCGACGAAGACAATTATTCGGCCAGATATTGTCGAAAAGTCGAAGATAAAATCTACTAATCGGCGACTACGTACTGCAACAGGAGATACTGCTACTGTTCATGGAGAAGTGGACATCACTATGGTCATAGGAAACACGAAATTTAAACATCGAGCATTAGTAGCAGATATTGAAGATGAAGTTATTGTAGGCATGGACATTATGAACTCTATAGGATTTGAACTAAACTTTCAACAAGGAATATTGAGAGTAAATAGAGAAGAAGTCGTGTTGCATCGATCAAAAGAAAAGAATATTCGTGTAATGCTAACAGAAGATGCTTTGATACCGGAAAACAGCGAGATGATATTGAAGGCTTTCTTGGATTGTAAATCAGAAGATGGAAGTATAATGCTTCTGGAGCCGAGGATTGATGACAAAGAGGTCGGTCGAGGAATTGTAGTAGGGAAGACTTTAATACGCGTCGGAAAAGAAGTGCCTGTAAGAGTATTGAATGTTAATGATTACTCTGTGAACTTGAAGAAAGGAATCGTTTTGGGAAACTGTTCTTCAGTTTCCTCGATTATTAGAGGCATTCGTGAGTCTGCAGTTCCGGCCAAGAAAGTTAGCAATGAATTGACGAATCTTCTGTCGACTTCTTCAAAGGATATGAAACCCAATGAAAGGATAAAGCTGAAAGAGCTGATTCACAATTATCAGGATGTCTTTGACGACGGACAAGGAAAGAAGGGTAGGACAAGAATTGTCCAGCATAAAATTAACACCGGTGATGCACAGCCTATTCGACAGTCAGCAAGAAGGCTGCCACTTGCCAAGCGAGAGGAAGCTGATAAAATTGTGCATGAAATGGAGAAGGAAGGGGTGATCGAACCATCCAACAGCCCATGGTCTTCCCCAGTGGTGTTAGTTAAGAAAAAGGATGGATCAACTCGATTTTGCGTCGATTTTCGTCAGCTGAACAACGTGACGAAGAAGGACAGCTACCCTCTACCTAGAATCGATGACACCCTGGACACATTGGCTGGATCGCAGATATTTTCAACTTTGGATTTAAAGAGCGGTTATTGGCAAGTTGAAATGGCACCAGAAGATAGAGAGAAGACGGCGTTTACTGTGGGTGCAGGACTGTGGCAGTTTACTGTCATGCCGTTTGGACTATGTAATGCCCCTGCAACTTTTGAAAGGCTCATGGAAATGGTTTTGAAGGGACTATCCTGGAAGACTTGCTTGGTGTACCTTGACGACATCATTGTGGTTGGGAAATCATTTGAAGACCATATGAAGAACCTGAAGGAAGTCTTTCAGCGCTTAAGAAGTTCCGGCCTGAAGCTAAGCCCGAAGAAATGTCACTTGTTCCAGAAGGAAGTGCAGTATTTGGGCCATGTTGTTTCGAGTCAAGGAGTGGCAGTGGACAAACAGAAGGTGAAGACGGTGCGGGAATGGCCAATACCGAAGAATAAACATGACTTAAGAAGCTTTCTTGGATTATGCACCTACTACCGTCGGTACGTACCAGGATTCGCAAAGGTTGCTAAGCCTTTGACACGTTTAACAGAGGGAGAAAGACTGTTACTTCTATAGGACGTCACAATGCAAGTTTGGATCTCTATGCAAATATCGCCATGGAGCTGAGGACCATTTTCGGGACGAAAATGTTTTAAGACGGGGGCAATGTAGCGAGTACCGCTCTGGATATCGGAGTGATGACTCATCGCCGGTGAGTCATCGCCGGTGACTCAGCGCTCGAATAATCGAGAGTGTGGAGCTCGCTGGAATGTTCCAGAAGACCTTGGCGCTGAATATATAAGAAACGGAGCAGCACACGGCAGTTAGTTGAGCTTTGACACTCGCGAAGAAATAAATAAATATAAGTGCAAATAAATAAACTAGTAGTGATATAAATAATTAGTAGTTAAGTGTTTAGTTAGTTTTATAGTGTTTTAAGTGTAGTGAAGTTATTAAATAAATAGTTTAGTTCGTTAATTAACCAGTGCGTGTTTTAATTCACACTACGAACAGTTAAAAACTTTACATTACCAATGTCAAATTTTTATAAATAGTTCTAAACTAAAGCTGTTTAACAAGGTTTTTATTTGGCAAAATTAGGTATCGTGGTTGACTGTTTAATTCCTTAAAAACTAATAATTTAAAGCGTAACGGACGGGACTATTACAAAGTACAATAGAACAATATTATTTTGTAAATAAAAACACGGCAACTGTCCTATCCGTTAAGCGTGGAATGGCCCTATATTATAAAGAACAAAGCTTTCCACACATTAAACATTGATTTTTAGTTGAGTAGTTAAACCATACACGTACAATTTGTATGCAGTATGTGGGTTGCTTTAGACAAAAATGTTTCGAAATTTACAAAATATAAAAATTTCTCGCCAACCTAAAATCTATTTTAAGTAAGTGGAAAGCTTTGTTTCCTTTTTGTCTAAAATCGAATAATTTTTTCTAAATTTATATTTTTAAAACGTTTAAAAGTTTTAAATTTTAAAAAATTTCAAATGGTTGCAAGTTTCCAAAATCATTTTATAATTTTTTCAATGTAATTGCTTGCAACGCGGCCATTTCAAGCGCGCAAAACGCACAAATTAAAAAACTGTTTTAAAAAAAAATATATCTACAATTTATAATATTATATGTAATATTTTGGCATCATATGTTATATATTAAATTAAAAAACTATAATATTTTATAAAAGTAGATAGAATATTAATAATTAAAAGGTATGGACCTGTCAATTATTAAAATTATCTCTACTTTTATAAAATACTTCTTGCGTTTTTTTTAAATTTTATGTACAGCTGTATAGCCTAATAAAAGAACAATATATTTGACAATTTAGATGCACAAATAATATATAATAAATTACCTATTTTTTTTTATTAAACCTTGAAATAGCCGAACGCTTAAAAGTATAATTGGTCTCCAATTCTCACATGTGCGGATAAGTTTTTTTGGTAGTTTGATAATTATTTCCTGGGGCATTTAATGTCTTTATTAGGAATAAAAAATACTTGACTTGACAGTTGACATTTTTCCAGGCGCTCGCAGAGACGCGGACGGCTACCTGTGGGTGACGGGCCGCGTCGACGACATGCTGAACGTGTCGGGGCACCTCATGTCCACCGCCGAGGTGGAGTCCGTCCTCACGGAGCACCACGGCGTCGCGGAGGCGGCCGTGGTGGCGCGCCCGCACCCCGTCAAAGGCGAGTGCCTCTACTGCTTCATCAGCACGACGGACACGGCCCACTTCGACGACAAGCTGCTCAAGGACCTGAAGCAGCTGGTGCGCGAGCGCATAGGGCCGTTCGCGCAGCCCGACGTCATCCAGGACGCGCCCGCGCTGCCCAAGACGCGGTCCGGCAAGATCATGCGCAGGATCCTGCGCAAGATCGCCGTCAACGACAGGGACGTGGGCGACATCAGCACGTTGGCGGACAGCGCGGTGGTGGAGCAGTTGTTCTCCGCGCGGCCCGCCAACGCCTAAGGCGCGCGGCACTTTTAGACGTAATTTAGTGATAGGTTAATGTGATTGTAACTAAATTGAATAATGGCACATTATCGGGGTTTCCGAAATTTTCTCTCCAACTAAAATCAATTTTAAGTGTGTGGAAAGCTTTATTCCTTTTTTTTTAAATTATAATCAAAATAAGTCTAAAATGTTTTCAAATTTTCACAATTACCAAAATTTTACAATTTTGGACTTTTCAGTTTTATTTATAAAAAATAAAGCTTTCACACACGTAAAATGTTTATTCAGTGTGTGGGTTTCTTTAGACGAAAATGTTTCGTAATTTCAAAAAATTTATAAATTTCCAAAATCTTCTCGCTAATAAAAAATCAATTTGAAGTGTGTGCAAAGCTTTATTTTTTTTTAATTAAAATTAAAAATAAGCCTAAAATTAAATAATTCACAATTACCAACATTTTACAATTTTTGACTTATTTTCAGTTTTATTTAAAAAAAAATAAAGCTTTCACACACGTAAAATGTTTATTTAGTGTGGACGAAAATGTTTCGTAATTTCAAAAAATTTCTAAATTTCCAAAATCTTCTCGCTAACAAAAAATCAATTTGAAGTGTGTGCAAAGCTTAATTTTATTTATAATAGCAGTATAAAATCAAATATTAATTTTGAAAATTTGAATTTGTTTTAAAATTTATAACTTAATTTCAAGCATATTAAAAAAATAAAGGTTTCCACACACTAAAAATTGATTTGTAGTTGAAGAGATAAAGGGTACACGTAACATATGTATACAGTGTGTACTGTGATAGCTAAACATCAATTTTAAGTGTGTGGAACCTTTATTTCTCCTTTTTTTAATTTTAATTGAAAATAAGTTAAATTTGTTGTCTAAAATCTATACAAAGCTATTTACACATTAAAAATTGATTTTTAGTTGAGAAACTAAAAGACACCATACACGAAAAATTTGTTTGTAGTGTGTGGGTTGCTTTAGACGAAAATGTTTTGTAATTTCCAAAATTTTTCGCCAAATAAAAATCAATATTAAGTGTGTGGACATTTAATATTTTTTTTATAATTTTAAATGTTTTAAAATTTTTAAAAAATCATTTTATGTTTCCAATATAATTAAAAAAATATTTCTTTACTCAAAAAATTGATTTTTAGTTGGCAAGTTGGAGACCAAACCCGTTAAATTTGTATATAGTTCTTCGTAATTTACAAAATTTTATAGATTTCTAAAATTTAAATTAATTTTTTTTACAATTTTCAAAATTTTCGATGTTTTTGAAATCTTTAAAAGTTTCCAAAGTTATTTTATAATTTAAGACTTCAATCATAAAAAAGGAGTTTCCAAACAATAAATTGATTTTTTAGTTGGAGAGCTAAAGAAGACCATACACGTACAATTTAGACAAAATTGTTTTGTAATCTCCAAAATTTTCTTAAAAAAATCAATTTTAAGTGTGTGGAAAGCTTTATTTCTTTTTTTAATTATAATTAAAAATAAGTTAAAATTTTCGAGTTTTTTTAAATTTACAAACATTTTCAAAACCTTTTAAATTTTACAAAATTGTTTTCAGTTAAATTTCAAAAAACAAAGCTTTTTACACACGTAAAATGTTTATGTAGTGTTTATTATTTTAACAGTGTTAAAATGTATTATTATTACACCCAACACATTTCAAAACTTTTTCTTATTTTATAATTTTGACTAACCCCATATAGAATCTATGGTGTAAGTAAGCAGGGGCGCCCCTAAAAATATTTATTACCAAAAGTAGTAATTTAAAGGTGTGGCGTTACTGTTCGCTCTATTCTACTACGTGCAACGCTGCTCTAAATTAATATTTTTAGAAAATGTACTCAAAAAATGTAACGTAAAAGATTATAATATGAAAAACGTAACATTAGAGATATTTTTAAAAAGCACATATAATTTATTATTATTACTTCTTTAAATTTTAAGCAATATGACAAATTTTATTTTATTGTTTGAGAAATAGGTTATGTTGATGTAGTATATTTTAAATAATTTATACCTTGTTATATATTTGGCTGATGATCTTGATGTTGTACCCTATAAACTATTTACAATGTATACCAAATAATAAATATATTTATTTTTTATTGAAAGTTTTTGCACATAAATAATGGAAGACTGCATAAATTGAAAAAGCCTTCATGTTATACATATCATTCCATTATTGAAAATCCATTTTTTTTGTACAAATGTATGTATATTATAATTTTAAGCAAATAAAATCGTTGATGTTACAACAGGGATTGTTTTAATGATAGGAATAATAAAACCCACTTTTAAATATTAATTTATTTCTTATATAACGCATCTAAGAGTTTCTAGACAAACTCCGCAGTTAATTATAAATAAATAATACATAAATAAAAATATATATTAATTTAACTAGAAAATAACATTCAACAGTTAACAATAAGTAACATGACTATGACAAATTGGCACCTTGAGAATATTGAAATCTTCAACGTGTGGAAACTCGAGAAAAAGTGACTTGTGCGTCTATAATAACTTATATTCGTTTTAAATTATTGTATTTTATATATTTAATACTGTTTTTAAGGTGTCTAAAATAAATCGCGCGATTATTTTACAAAACACTGCTCCTTGGAAGTCCTGATTTTACTACACTGGATTTTTTCTTTAATAGTGCAATTTATTCTTAAACAAGTATGTACATTATACTGGGCCAAAAAAATCGACTATTTTTTTTGTTAAGTACATCGAAAATATTGTTTGGGGTGACAAAAAAAAATATGGTGAAAGTTTGAGTCCATAATTTCAATATTAAGAGGACTATCATCGCAATTTTAGATTTTTTTTCCGGAGCGAGTTTTAGTCTCAGAACTCCCAAACCATTGAGTTTAACAAAATTGACAAGAATATTTTTTGAAGAAAATTGAATGCTCTACAAAAAAGGTTTGATTGAAATTTCTCCGTCTGATGAACCGTTTTCTTACAATCATGCCTTAAAAATTGGTATAGTTTTACAATTTGATCTTTTAACTTTGGAATTTTGTAATTCATGTAAAAATCAGTACCCGGAAAAAACCGATAAGAAATTCTTATGGAAAATCAAATGCTACAAAAAAAGTCTTCTAACATTTTTGGCTAAATTCACTCCATTATATCACGAGAACTATGAATTTAATCGGTTAAACTAGGCTCAGTAGTTTTTTGTTTGGTTTTTGTTGGAAAATGTTGAATGCAAAATATTTTAATAAAATCACGAGACCGCGTAGCGGTCGAGGGTTTTATTTTTAATTATTTTGCATGAAACTATTTTCCAAAAAGAAAAATCAAATAAAAAACTTACTGAGCATAGTTTGACAGATTAAATTTATAGGTTGAGTGATATACGTCTAGATTATTTTTCGAATTAAAGGAAACTATTTGACAATTCATAAAATCTGACGTATGTGTCAAAATTTATAAATATTTTTTAAAAGAAAATTCCATTAATTTAAGGTATGTAATAAGTAATAATTGATATTTCGTAAACTAGATAACTTATTTTTAATTGTTTTTTAAAAAATGTTTGTTAAAACTTGTAAATAACACCATAAAATCGTAAACAAAAATCCAATATGGAGGCTAAAATTTAATCGCTGTTAAATAGTTCTAGTGATTTAATCGCTTATTTAAACGAAATTTATTCGAAAATTCAAGGCTTTTGATTGGTTCATATTATAATGAGGGAAATAATCATATATTATATCACAAGAACTATGAATTTAATCGGTTAAACTAGGCTCAGTAGTTTTTTGTTTGGTTTTTGTTGGAAAATGTTGAATGTAAAATAATTTAATAAAATCACGAGACCGCGTAGCGGTCGAGGGGTTTTATTTTTAATTATTTTGCATGAAACTATTTTCCAAAAAGAAAAATCAAATAAAAAACTTACTGAGCATAGTTTGACAGATTAAATTTATAGGTTGAGTGATATACGTCTAGATTATTTCTAGATTATTTCTATTCCATTAATTTAAGGTACCTATGTAATAAGTAATAATTAATATTTCGTAAACTAGATAACTTATTTTTTATTGTTTTTTAAAAAATGTTTGTTAAAACTTGTAAATAACACCATAAAATCGTAAACAAAAATCCAATGGAGGCTAAAATTTAATCGCTGTTAAATAGTTCTAGTGATTTAATCGCTTATTTAAACGAAATTTATTCGAAAATTCAAGGCTTTTGATTGGTTCATATTATAATGAGGGAAATAATCAAGGTTAAATTTGAAGTCAAAACGAAATTATTGTTTTTTCCGATATAGATTTTTTTTTGGGTCAGTTAAAAACTTGGATTCTATTATCGATGATAATCTTTATGTTACTGAAAATTAAAAAAAAAATAACACATAATTTTTTCGCTTTAAGAAGCTATTTTCTTTAGAAAATATCATTTTCACTGTTACCTATTTAATCGTTTAAATAATAACAATCATCTGACGGAAAATTTCATTTTAACCTTTTCTTAAAAAAATATTTAGTCAATTTAGTTAAACTCAATGGCTTGGGAGTTCTGAGACAAAAACTTGCTGAGGAAAAAAATTTAAAATTGCAATGATAGACCTCTTAATGTTAATATTATGGACTCAAACTTTCACAATAATTTCTTTTGCTACCCCATATACTTTTCAAAAAAAATAGTTGATTTTTTTGTACATTGTACATTAAAAAAATAACACTAGTAACTTATGAGTAGAACTGGTCATATAACATTAACAAATGTTTTTGTAAAAAAAAACTAATTTATTATTTATGCTTCTATTAAACTTACTTAGTGATTTGTCTTTAAAAACTACAATATATTCGTTATTTAACATATTTTATTTTCTTTGGTTTCCATACGTTGATTGGCATGTTGTGTGGTTAATTAATTACACTGGGCAACAGTAAATTTGCTACTTTATTAAAATACGCGCCGTTAGTGTATGTATTTGTTAAATAAATAGTCAAAAAGTATTTTTTGCCCAGTACAACCTAAGTATCATTAAAAACGTCCTAAGTCTGTGCGGATCCGTAGGTACCAGGTGGAGGTCGATATTTTTTAGGTAACGAATGCAACTGTCGGGAGTTAAAAGCGTATTTGCGCACGTTTATGTTTTTTAAGGTGTTTTCCCTTCGAGACCCCTCGCTGGAAACAAAAAATGAAAAGAAATTTTGCCCAGGAATGATAAAAACAAACGTCTTACCTTCTTAGGCAATCTAAGGCCTTCTGAAACTCGTGCTCGGCTAAGTGGTACTCGTCGGCTAATATTTGGCACTCTTCTAACGTAATTGACATTCCGGTTCTGTCCTTGGCACTTTTACAGCTCGTATATCTTAAACCTACAATACAATTTGTATTTTATTGTACAAATTAAAAATAACCAAAATATTCTTACTAAATTAAAATAAAAGGAATAATTATTTTAATCATAATATTACGGATATTATCCGTAAAATTTTGGAAATTTTCAGAAAAATTGACTTTTGCATTTTTTCGTATTACGGCTATTTCAAGCGCGCGAAACGCACGAATTACAAAACAGTTTTTATAAAAAAAATTGTAGAATATTTATTATATAATATTTGGGCATCAATATTGTCAAAAATAATCTTCTTTTATTAGGTTACACATTAAATAAAAAAAACGCAAGAAATATTTTATAAAAGTACAGATAATTTTAATAATTTAAAGGTGTGGACGGGACGAAAAAAGATTTATCTTGAATTATCTCTACTTTTATAAAATATTTTTTGCGATTTTTATTATTGTATAGCCTAATAAAAAAAGAATATATTTGACAATTTTGATGCAAAAATAATATATAACAAATTCCCTACAATTTTTTTTATAAAAAAAGTTTTGTGATTTGTCCCGTCCGTCCGCTTGAATTGGCCGCTAACCCTTGAATAAAATTAAAAAAATCAAAGAAAAAGTCAATTTTTGTGATAATTTCCCAATTCTCAAAAACGGGTTTTTTTCCGCCGGCTCAATTTTTCCGGAAATTTGAAAACCCTTATCCCGGTAGAATATTCTTACTTTTTATAATAATAGGAATAATTCTAATAACCATGTATAATCAAAGTGTATATCCGTTAAATTTGGAAAATTTTCAGAAAAAATGACTTTTGCATTTAAAAAATATATAAAAAAAATGCAGAAGTAAATTTTTCTGAAAATTTTCCAATTTTTCGTTTTTTTTTTCTGCCGGCTTAATTTTTCCGGAAATTTTAAAACCCTAATTATTACCTAAACTAACTAAAAAGTATTTGCTTTATAATTTTAAAATAATTCAACAAATTTATAAGCAATTCAATCCTTAAAAGTAATTTAATTATTTAAAAGTAATTCAATTACTAAAAAAAATTCTATTACTTAAAAGTTATTCTATTACTATAAGAAGTAATTGAATTAAAATAAGTAATTTAATTAAAGTAATTGCCTATATAATCATTTTCTTTTCATGGTAATTGGTAATTTAACTACATTTGTTAATCTGTGGTAATTGGTTATTGGTAATTTATATCTTTGTGTCAAAACAATTGTTAATTGTAATTCTATTAATTTTTAAGAGTTATTGCGACAGCTCTGAAAACAAATTAAAAAAAGACTACAAGATGCACGGCTAAATTACAAATTTAGGAGGTTTTTTGGAGAATTTTATGTGAAATAAAGTATGCAAATGAATGTCTGTAATTAAATAAAAACAACACTGTACTTAAAAAATTACAAAAAAATAAATAATTCTTTTTAACAAAAATATAAATAAATATCACTTTTTTGTATAAATAATTTACAATAATTGACTAGTTTTTTAGCCAAATCGCTCGACGAGTTTTTTTTGAATAAAATTAAAAATGAGGTAAAATTACTATCTACTTTTGTATATACAGACTGTAAGAAGAATCAAGAAGAATCAAGTAAGTAAGGCTGGAGACAAGGATGACAAATTATATTCTGATCAGAGAAAAAGAAACAAACTTTAATTGGGCGTGGTTTAAACCAAGCCATTCGTAATTACGAACCATAGTTGCCAGGTTGTTTTAAATCAGAAGAGAACGATTATAATTATTTAATAAATAGTTCAATTTTATTTGTTTGAAACTTTAAAAATTACAAAAAAATTTATAATATGTCAAAAATAATTTGATTTAGTTAATTTTCTTACTTTTAATATTAAAAAATAAGAAAAACAACCCTTTTAGGAAACAATAATAGCATATGGCAACAGCGCGGCATGCAGCAAGATACAAGGGCATGTAGTTTTGTTCAGTAGCTCCGACGCTGTCGTAGGGAAATGTGTATAGTTTTTAAGAAATACATTTTCGCCATTAACTGGAATTTAATGGATTTTAAACAATACTTAGTGTTTATTTGCAGAAATGCATTAAAACAAAACAAACGATTTCGATAAAAATAAAACCTATAAATTTTCAAACAAAAATAATTTTAAATTAACGAAAATACCTTTTTTTCTAAATTAAATGTTCAATCCCTACCACAGTGGGCGGGGTTTGGCACTTGTTTTATTTAAGTGTATCTATTCGTTTTAATACACACTGTATCTACACAAGTAAAAATTTCACCGCACTTTTAAATTTATTTAAAAAAAGCCAAAGTCAAATATATATTTATATTTTAGATATTATTTAATTAAAAATTAAAAATCCTTTTGTTTGATATATAGCACGGTAAATTTTTGCCGAAAACAAACGGAATTTTGCTAAAAATTACAATTTTGTAGAAGTCTGGAAGCTATTATATGAATTTTGTTTTTGGGTATATTTTGTTGTTTGTAGGTTGTGATGTATCATTTTAAATATAATTTAATAAACTAGAATATTATTATAAATTATTGACATTTAAGATTTAGAGGCTGCCTATTTTTTTTTCTTATAAAATATAATATAAAAACTATTTTAGTTGTGTATTTGTTTTAATTTTCAAATATGTTTAATATGTTTATTTTAGAAGTTTTTATTTGTTGTTTTTATTTAAAAACTTCTATTATAAATAACGGTTATTTTAAATTTTTCTGCTTTGTGTTTACTCCGGCTTTAATCTTTATTAAGGAAAAACAATGTTTCTGAAAAAATACATTAAAAAAAACAAAACGTTTTCTTCTGTTTACATCACTACCTATTTAGATTAAGATTTAAGACAAATTTTAGGAATTTTATGAGTTTTAGGAGGTGTGGGAGGAAAAAGTAATTCAATTACAATTTTTCAAATATTTTAATTCAATTACCGGCAGCTCTGGCGGTGGGAGGACTAAAAAGGCTAAAAAAACTCTCACCTCTCATTTGTCTGCATATTATGGCCGCCAAGTGCAGAATCTCCACGTTCTTGGCCCTCCCGCTGTTCACCGAAGCCCTGAGATCCCCGACCAAATCCCCCAGAGGCTTCAGCTGCGCGGAGCAGGCCGCGGTCCTCCCGTTGCTCTGCCAAACGTCCGGCATGCTCAACTTCCTGTACCGCAGGTAGTACTCGTTCAGCCGCTCGAAGTTGTCCACGTTGGAGCGCTCCTGCGGCCTGGTGCAGCCCGTCTCCTCCGCCACGGTTGCCATCTCGTTGATGCCCACGTTGAAGAACACCGGCGTCACGCGGAACGACACCGTCTGCCGGGCGGGGATCAGCCGGTAGAGCGCGTCCGGCACCGGAAGGCTCACCTAGGGTTGCAACTTTTCATGAAAAGTTGAAATTTTTGAAAAGTTGGGTTTTATTTTTCGGAAAAGTTGAGTTTTTTGTAATGTAAACGTATAAAACATAAATAATGCTTGTCAATGTATTAAAATAATTTATTTCTTATGTATTTATTAGGGTGTGCCAAAAAAACTCGATATTTCTTTTTTCTTGCTCTCCACCCAAAATGTCGTAGAATATGTCTAAACAAATATTCTGTTAAAAGCGGAGCTCATAATTTCAATTTTAAGAGGTCCCTCATCGAATCTGAAGTTTTGCCGCTTAAATAACACAGAAAACTGACTTTTTTACCTTATTTATTCTTGCAACCTAGGAAGAAATTTTTTTTTCATAAAATCCATGACTCTTACAAAGCATTAAATTTGGACGAAAAAATCTTATTAAGCCGAATTTCTATTTTCATTATTTGATTTTTTACAGAGCTTTAAATTTAAAATTTTACGTTTTTTGCCTTTTTCAGCTAAACTATTGAAGTTAGACGAAAAAGTCAAATGGCAATTTTTTAGCTTGTCTGATGGAGCACAAAAAAGTTTTAGGCGAATTTTTTGTATCGTCAATATTCTAAAAGTTACAGGCGTATAAATTCATCATTTTTGTATTATTAACTTTAAATTTAAAGCTCTGTAAAAAATCAAATAATGAAAATAGAAATTCGGCTTAATAAGATTTTTTTGTCCAAATTTAATGCTTTGTAAGAATTGGTCATGCATTTTATGAAAAAAAAATTTCTTCCTAGGTTGCAAGAATAAATAAGGTAAAAAAGTCAGTTTTCTGTGTTATTTAAGCGGCAAAACTTCAGATTCGATGAGGGACCTCTTAAAATTGAAATTATGAGCTCCGCTTTTAATAGAAATATCGAGTTTTTTTGGCACACCCTAGTATTTATACATACGTAACAAGTTGTTTTATAACAAAATAACAAAAAAAATAAACAAAATAAAATGAACAGACAACATAATCACAACAAAAATAAACTAGGTTTGAGTTAAAAAAATCATATTTTTTAAGTAAAAAAATAGAAATTTATACACACTATAAAAAAACACATACGAAATAAAAAATAATTAAAAAAAAAATATATTTTTTATTGTTAAAAATTATGGAAATTTACAAGTAAAAATTTAAAAAGAAAAAGAAGAGAAAACTTTCTTCTTTTCCACTTATATATTTTCACTTGCAAATTTCCATAATTAAAAAAAAATAATATTTTTTTCATACTGTGTATAAATTTTCACTCTTCCAGTTTTGATTTTAATTAATCTGATTCTGATGAATCAGAACTGAAAGCCGTGGGCGAAGACCATTTTTGATAAAGTTTGACAGAATGTTATTCCAAAAAACAATGATTTTAGCACGTTTTACTAAAAACACTTCAAATCTAGCGATTTATATCGAATTTTGACCGAATTATCTACCGAAAAAAAATTTATGGTAGTGGAAACAGTGGTTAGAAGTCAACTAATTGTTCATTGGCTCCCACCTAATAACTTTTCCAACTTTTCCAACTTTTCATAGGGGGTGCCGAACTTTTCCAACTTTTCGACCGAACTTTTCCTTGTTTGCAACACTAGACTCACCGCGAGGGAGTTCCGGCTTCCGGTGACCTTCGGGGCGGGTTGCGGGTCCGCCGGGCACCTGGCGAGGGTGAAGAGGACCGTTCGGAGGTCTTCCACGGCTACGGACATGTCGCCCCACATGTCTATTTCGTTGCCGTAGTAGCTGAGTAAGCCTTCGAAGCTGGCTAGCGGGCCTAGAGTCGATAGGAGGGTTACAAAGGCGGGGTCCGCCTTGTGGCACCACAGGCGCGTCATCAGACCGCTTACCAGCGATGTTAGCTGGAAGAAAAAATTTTGGAACCCTATATATAAATTTATAAGATTAAATTGGGAATTACTTCAAATGCTTTTGTCAATTAAAGTATAAAAACTTTTTACTATTTACTATGACCAGTATATATAAATACATAAAAAAACTATATTCAAAATCCTTAATTTAAAATAACAAAACCAAAATGTAAATGTAAGAAGTAGGGAAATGGTAAAAAGGGACATAAAAATAAAATAAGTAAATATATTTACTTATATAAGGATTATTTTCATTAAAAAAAAACGTTGTATGTAATGAATTTTTTTTAATGTGGAAAATAGTAAAAAAATACCTAAAAGAAAATGTTAATAAATCAAAGAAATGTAGGAATTACTGCTTGAGAAAAACATACGTTTGTTAAAAAAAATATTTTAAAATAAAGGAAATGCAGGAACTATATTCAAAATCCTCAATTTATTGTATTTTATTAAAAATTATTATACAAAATATAGGAAAATGCAACAATTTAAAAACATGTAATGCATTTTTTTAATGTGGAAAATAGTAAAAAAAAACCTGAAGGGAAATGTTAAAAAATCAAAGAAATGTAGGACTTACTACTTGAGAAAAACACACGTTTATTATAAAAAAATGTGAAAAACAGTAAAATTAAATAAAATAAATGCAAGAACTATATTCAAAATCCTTAATTTATTGTATTTTATTAAAAAATATTATACAAAATATAGGAAAATGCAACAATTTAAAAAAAATCATTCTAAAAAAATAACAACACCAAAAAGTAAGTGTAAGAATTAGGAAAATGGTAAAAAAGGGACAAAAATAAAATAAGGATTTTTTTCATTAAAAAAACCGTTGTATGTAATGAACGAACCTGGGAATCCCTGGACATTTTAGAAGGGGAATACCATAGGAATGCAATGGAAATACATAGGAATACAATAAAATATAATGGGAATACATGGGAATCCCTGGACGTTTTCCCTTTGGGTGGTTGACCCTCGGTAATGAATTTTTTTAACGTAGAAAATAGTAAAAAAAACTAAAAGGAAATGTAGTACAGGGTTCCCAACACGAAAATGAAACGAAATTCCCTGACTTTTCCAGGTTTTCCAGACTTATTTTTATCAATTTACAGCAACAATTATAGGTAGTTATAAACAAATAAATGTATGTATATGTAAAGTAAAAATAAATTTTTCTTTTTCTTTTTAGAATTCTTAAATTAATATAAATAAATTAAACAGAACAAACATTCATAAAAAAATTAAAAGGAAACACATATTGTTTCAGCAACATAACGATAGAAATAGAATAGAACATAACCTAAGAATTTGACGCCGGCTCTGCACCTCATTTCACTACAATGGAATATTTATAATTAGCAGTATGCCCCTGTGAATGGAAAGCGGCTATATTATTTGTAAAAAATAGTATTTTTTAAGAAAAATTCCCTGACTTTTGGTAAAATTCAGCAAATTCCCTGACTTTTCGTAAAATTCAGCAAATTCCCTGACTTTTCCCTGACTTTTTTACTAGTATCTAATTTCCTTGACATTTCCAGATTTTCCCTGTTTTCCAGGTAAGTGGGAGTACTTACTGCTTGAGAATAACACAAGTTTTTTATGGAAAAATGTGAAAAATAGTAAAATTCCAAAAAAAATATTTAAAAACAAAAGAAATGCAAGAATTATATTCAAAATTCTCAATTTTATAATATTTTATCATAAATTGTGAAATCTAAAAAATAACAACTCCAAAAAGTAAATGTAAGAATTACGAAAAATGGTAATGTGGAAAATAGAAAAAAAAACCTAAAAGGAAATGTTAAAAAATCAAAGAAATGTAGGACTTTCTGCTTGAGAAAAACACACGTTTGTTATGAAAAAATGTGAAAAATAGTAAAATTCTAAAAAAAAAATATTTTAAAAATAAAAGAAATGCAAGAACTATATTTAAAATCCTCAATTTTATTGTACTTTATTAAAATATACAAAATAAAAGAAAATGCAACATTAAAAAAAAAATCTTGTGAAATCTAAAAAATTAACACCAAAAAAGGGTAAAAAGTGGCATAAAAATAAAATAAGTAAATATGGATTTGGAAAAACCCTTGTATGTAAGTATTGATTTTTATTTATTAATGTGGAAAATAATAAAAAACCCTAAAAGAAAATGTTAAAAAATCAAAGAAATGTAGGACTTACTGCTTGAGAAAAACACACGTCCCTCCTGTACTGCACATTCAAAACCCGCTGCGCAGCCTTGGGGTCTTCTTGCACCCTAAACACCGAATGCGTCAGGCGCGCGGTCTTCAACAAACCGTCCATGGCCTGCCTTAGTTTTCGCATGCTGGGCCTCAGTTCGGCCGCCCAATCGTTGATCTTGTTCAAATCCAGACCGTCCGTGAACTTGTTACCGTTCCGTACGACTTTCGTCACAGCTTTCGTCACAGCCTCCGTTTCCTTTTGGATCATGGCATGCCCCGGTTGCTCCATGATTACCACCTTAAACAAATTAACTTTTTAATTTCTTCAACTTGTTCACATTTTACCTTACAGGGTTTTTCCTCCTATACCCATTAGGTTTTATTATTGCTGTAACAGCACTCTTTTAAAATTACACCTTAAAACTATTTTATACTTTAATGCGCTGTTACAGGCTTAAGACTTTCTTAGAACCAAAAAGGAGAATACTTTTATTGCTTTCATTTAAATGATAACGATAAATTTTTAATACAACAAGCTTACATTACATTTAAATGTTTTTAAAAGTTTTAAATTTTAAAGTGGTAATGGATTAAAAATTCATCGACCATTATTTAAATGACTCTTTACAAATTTAAACCAAAACTTTTTATTTTTAGCAATTTTAAATTGATACTTTTTTAACACAAAATTTATAACTTTACATTTAAATGTAAGTCGACAATTTTTAATTTAGAAAGTGCAAACGTAGCTTCAGCAGAAGGCTTACACAAAGTCTGCAGCTTATGCAGTCAGCTAAAGCCGCGTTTTTTACTCCAAAAATGTACTTTTTCTTCCATTGTGGCATTTGGCATAATTTCATCAAAATGAACTTTTGGCCTCAAAAGGGCTTTTACATTCGAATTCGTTGCTATTATTTTTGGCATAATTATCTTTTTATTTATAATTGACAAATAAATTATCGACTATAATTACACAAGAGCTTATTTTTAGCCGGATAAATTTTTGTTTTCCTTAAAATCTTGTTACCTAGCAATTTGACAAGAAAAAATGTCATCAATCTCAAGTCTTTTTTTTAAATTTATTTAAGTCTCTTTTTTAAATTTATTTAAATGAACAATTAGAAAATGAACAATTATTATAAATAATTCTGGATGTAGAGGTAGAAGATAGCTCCAGTGTATTATTTTCTTCAATAAAATCTGTAATGCTTGCATTTTGAATGTTGTTTTCATTGTTTGACTGACAGGCAATTTTCATATCATTTCGTAAATTTGAAACTATTTCTTTATGATGTGTTGCATCTATTTGTCCATTTTGAGATTATGTTTTTACCCAAGGTCATGTTTTTGTACCAACCTTTAGAATTTTGTTTATTCCAAAATGGATTTGGAGTAAGAAACATACGATCTGATGTTATGTATTTAGATCTTTTTTCCAGAAGAACTTTAAATAGTCTTACTGGACAAATGCTTGGATCTTCCTCATTTTTTAAAATCCATTTACTGTCACTTAATCTTTTAGATCCTCCTTGTGCAGTCTTATAAAACACTGGATTGTATTCAATTCTGTCTGTGAGCATCCCATCGTTGGTTTTTTCTTCACTAAAATAATACAACATGCATGCTGCTGCTTCTCCACCTCTCCATGCTAACTCATAAGAAACAATATGGAAGAATCTTTTTTGTAAACCTTCTCTTTTGTGAGAGCATTTGAACTTCTTTTTCTGCTTTCCGGAATTCTTTGTAACTCCTTTCTTTTTGCATTTCTAGCATCACGGGCCTCTTTGAATACAATATCGGAAAATGGATTAATTTTGATATTAAAATCTTGATAGTATTTCTCTTGAAGCATTTTTGCCGTTGAGTTCCACATAGTTTTGATAACGTATTCCTTATAATCATCTCCATTAATTTTTTTCATATTGTATGCCCAATCAAGCAAAATATTTGCCAAGTCTTGCTGTGATGTTGAGTCGACTAGTTTGTAATTCCTCGCATTACAAAATGCCATAAATTGTCGCCAAATTGACGCTTTATTATTTAAAGTGTTATTTGGGATACTATTTACAATTTGTTCTTTAATTTTTTTGTCGGACACGACACCAAAACGATTCATTTTAAAAGATTTTTGACAACTGGTATTAAATAGTATATTACACTACAAGGGTAGAAAGTGTGAGATTTCTGCACTGCGCGCCATGATCATGGCGCGCAGTTCAGGGCTCTCACACTTTCTGCCCGTGTAGTGTATACTATTTTTCTTGCTACCCCGCAGAAAATACGGGAAAAAATTAAATGTATATAAAAAAACTTGTGTCAAAATTATAATCTGACGTTTCATTTAATTCTGACGTTTACATTAAAAATCAATCAAACTGTAGCGTTGTCATGGTAATACAGTAAAAATAAAAGGTATTTTAATTAACAAATTACTACTTTATAACAAATAAAAGTACCATTAAACACTTAAAAAACATAAAAAGTAAAAAAGTAAAAACATAAATTGTTTATTTGTTGTTATAATTGCAAAATTATGGTTTAAAACTGTCATATTTTTGTGTTTCTCATGTTGGCAGTGCGAAATTTGAATGTTAAGCAAACGGTGTATGTATCTTGCGATATTAGAGTGTGCGCGTATAGCTTGACCAATGCAAGAAACGTAAACTTTCTGCCGTGAAATCGGGGACGAAACAACGTATTTTGAGTCGAGGTAGTAGGAAATAGTATATTACACTACAAGGGCAGAAAGTGTGAGATTCCTGCACTGCGCGCCATGATGCCCGAGGCGAAGCCGAGGGCATCATGGCGCGCAGTTCAGGGCTCTTACACTTTCTGCCCGTGTAGTGTATACTATTTTTCTTGCTACCCGGCAGAAAATACGGGAAAAAATTAAATATATATAAAAAAACTTGTGTCAAAATTAAAATCTGACGTTTAATTTAATTCTGACGTTTACATTCAAAATAAATCAAACTGTAGCGTTGTCATGGTAATTCAGCGGTGCCAATACAGTAAAAATAAAAGGTTGTATTTTAATTAACAAATTACTACTTTATTACAAATAAAAGTACCATTAAACACTTAAAACAACATAAAAAGTAAAAAAGTAAAAACATAAATTGTTTATTTGTTGTTATAATTGCAAAATTATGGTTTAAAACTGTCATATTTTTGTGTTTCTCATGTTGGCAGTACGAAATTTGAATGTTAAGCACACGACTAAAAAATTTTTACTCCCGCTATTAGAGTGTGCGCGTATAGCTTGACCAATGCAAGAAACGTAAACTTTCTGCCGTGGAATCGGGGACGAAACAACGTATTTTGAGTCGAGGTAGTAAGAAATAGTATATTACACTACAAGGGCAGAAAGTGTGAGATTCCTGCACTGCGCGCCATGATGCCCGAGGCGAAGCCGAGGGCATCATGGCGCGCAGTTCAGGACTCTCACACTTTCTGCCCGTGTAGTGTATACTATTTTTCTTACTACCTCGGCCAAAAATACAACCCGGCCGAAAATACGGGAAAAAATTAAATGTGTATTTATGTATCTATCTCCATTTGAAGAGCTTGATAAATAAATAACAGTAGGCCGTGAATTCAGCGGTGCCAATACAGTAAAAATAAATCGTTGTATTTTAATTAATAAATTACTACTTTATAACAAATAAAAGTACCATTAAACACTTAAAACAACATAAAAAGTAAAAAAGTAAAAACATAAATTGTTTATTTGTTGTTATAATTGCAAAATTATGGTTTAAAACTATCATATTTTTGTGTTTCTCATGTTGGCAGTACAAAATTTGAATGTTAAGCACACGACTAAAAAATTTTTACTCCCGCTATTAGAGTGTGCGCGTATAGCTTGACCAATGCAAGAAACGTAAACTTTCTGCCGTGGAATCGGGGACGAAACAACGTATTTTGAGTCGAGGTAGTAAGAAAAAATAATTATTTGCAAGGTTGTCAAGGAAATAAAATGACACGAGGTAAATAAATAATTATCCACTTGCAAAAAGTTTCCTTCCTTATCAAAGTGACTTAGATGTTATTTAACTACGACGTTTTCATGTAAGAAAAAAATTATCAATAATAAATATTATTGTCAATTTGACAGTGTCAAAGTATTTAATTAAATTCTTTAGCAGCAGTACCATTTTTAAATACTAAAAATACTAAGTCAAACTGGCATAAGCCATCAACCTTACAAAAAACACCAGATAAAAAAAATTAACTGTATATTTTCAGAAAAAAACAGTTTTTTTCCCCAATTTTTCCGTTTTTTTTTCGACACTTTAAAACCCTACTTGGGTAGTGCATAAAAGTGCAACTTTACGTACCTTCTTGATCGGTTTGACGTTCTGCTTGAGCCGCACCGCCGGGCTGCCGCACCGCCCGCACAGGAACTTCACCTTGCTCACCAGGCACATCACGCTCGCCTCGATGTTCAGCTGCGTGATGTCCCACGGTTCCGGCTCGTCGGTCGGCTTGTAGTAGTTGGCGGACGGCGAGCTGCACATGGCGGCCGTGTCGAGGAACGCGCGCCCCGAGTCGGGATCGGCGCGCGCGCGGCTCGCGCGCCCGCATCCGGTCCCGTTGGCGAGCCGGTTCGGGCCGGACGCGTCCGGGTCGGCCGCTTCCGCAGGGTGCGGGTCTTCGCAGTCGGGGAATATCACGAAGTTCGTCTCGTCGGGGCTTTGCATGTTGGAACAAAGGCTTTTCACGCCTGAAATTATGTATTAAGAAAAACGTAACAGCATTGTAAAATAATTGAAAATAATATAAAAACTAGAGGTGGGCTGTTCGATACAGAAGCCGTATCGATACGATATCGATATAATTTTCAAAATATCGCTTATATCGATACAATTTCGATACGATACGGTTAGATTTAAAAAAAAATCTTAAAAATAAAAATAATTTATACAGTAACAAAATTACGTATTTTTTGAGTTTTATTAACCTTTTTAAGCATTCAAATTTACAAAACTTCAACTTCAGCATCATTTTAAACTTGTTATTTAATTAATTAATTTAAATGACTTTTTATATATTTTTTATAAAAAACCTTAAAAACTACTCATATAAAATTTTTATTTTTGTTATCAAAATAATCTCCTCCTAAAACTTACGCCATTTTCTGCATAAACGAATAATTAAAAAACAACTAAAAATCAAAGAATCGTAACCATAAAAAATTGTGAAAAACATTTAAAATTAAAAAAATATTTTTTTAGTAAAAAGATAAAAAAAAATAATGGTAGAGCAATAAATAATTTACAAAAATAAAAAAAATTTAAATTAAGGTTTAATTATGTTTTTTTATGTAAAAATTGGCATTTAATTCTTATTTCATAAAACCATAAAAATCAAGAACAAAATGTTGTTTTTCTTAATTATTATCCTGATAATATTTGCGAAATTGATTTTTTGCATAGATGTTACTTAGTATATAGTAATAAGTAATAAAATTATTTATTATTAAGGAGGGTTGGGCACAATACACAATATATTAGTCGCTGTGAGAAAATGTTGAAAAAAATCTAGGTAGTGGAGTCTACTTAAAAGACATTTACAAAGTTTTAGAAAGATTGACCGTCTGGTTTTCGAGTAAAAATTATTAAAGTTGCTGAGACTACACGGGATGTCAACGTTTATTATTGATAAACTATGTTGTAAATGTTGACAAAAATGTATATGCCAATTCTACATGTATAAGTGCAAACAAGAAAAAAAATTTCTTATTGGCATGTTAAAAAATATGCGTTAATTAAATAGATCTCCTTTACAGCCCATGTCTTTAATTAATGCATTAACGTGTCAAATTGATGAAGTTTGTTTCTCGAATGCACTTATCCCTGTAGAAGTGCCATATAAGTTTTTGTAAACTTTCACTGCACAGTTTTGCAATAATAAACGATAATGTTGACTGTGTACAACCAAAATTATCAATCGGTCATTTTCGTCTAGAAGATCCGGCAACACTGGATTACGAACACGTGATTATCTAGGGATATTTCGTTTGATTTATTTGGTGACTACAATAACTTTGTTTTTAAATTAAATTTATTAAAAAAAAACACACAATTGTATTGTTATTTATTTTTTATCGTTTTCTTATCTTTGTTTTCTGCAGGAATCAACATACTTTTCTGTTCTTTATTTTTGGTCACCATACCTTTTTTTACTTTTTTTATTTTCACAAATTTCACAAATCATTTTATGATTTTATATACGCTGTGGCTCCCGTCCCGAGGCGGGACCCAAGTTCAGTCCCGATTGACGTCATAATTTTAAGATTTGTTATGTTATAATAAAATAATAATAATAATAAATTGTACCTGTATACATGTTAAGGGCACTTTAGTTACGTCATAAAACCAAACCAACCCAAACTCAACAACACAACCCAACCGACCCCGCCCCATTGGCCCCCCCCCGCCCCATTGAGCAAAAAACCCAACTAAAATGGGCAAATTTATGTTACGATAAAAATAAAACACTTTTTAACAAAGAAACAACAAATTTATAAAACAAAAAAAATAAAAAAAGTTTGACAACTTCTAGTGGGATCGAACCCGGTACCTCTCGCATGCCAAGCGACCGCCCTACCATCTAAGCCATCGAGCTTGACACAAATTATAAAATCTCGGGGAATAAAAACGGATTTACAGTGTGTGACGTCAATCGGGACTGAACTTAAGTCCCGCCTCGGGACGGGAGCCACATCGTTTTATATAACATATACGCATATAGAAATGTCACTGCAACTGTCAAAACCACTTCTCAACAACTCGCAATGTTGTCGCCTTCACATCCTATCCTACGTTTTTTAATTGACGTTCCTGTGTTACAAAACATATGTATATTAAGGTGTTTCATTTAAAACGAAATTTTTTTTTCTTGCTGACACATGAAAATTTTGTTTTTTAGGTTGAAATAAAAATTCCCTGAAAATTTGAGCCCTTAACTTTTATTTTAAGTACTTCCTTTTTAATTTTGTAGTTTTTCCATATAAAAAGCATGTATTTTTAATCATTTTTACTTTAAATTTCTATTTTTTGGCTGGGTTTTGAATTATAATTTTTATCACCATAATTTCCTGCATAGTATTCACGGTTTTTGAAAGGCCCTGCATCAATTTTGTTTTTGATTTATTTACGTTGATTGTAGTAGCTCCAAAAGTCGTTTTTTCACTCTTTTCACATATTTTTGAGAAAATCGAGCGAATGACTGGTTTTACCGAAAAAGTTCAAAAAAAAAAGTTGTAGAAAATTTAATTTTTGACAAAAAAGGTCTTCACGTTCATAACACTAAAGTGCTTTTTTTAAGAGATATAAGCAATATATAGTTGTTGAATCAAATTACATAAATTTCAATAAAACCTATTTTTTCTTTGTTTTTGGTTATTGAATTGCAAAAAAAATGTTCGTTTAAAATGAAACACCCTAATGTATATAGTGACTTTTGTAATAAAATAAAAATAATTATAAAATCATTTGCACGAACCTCCCTAAATTGAGAAAAATAGAAAGTTGTAAAAGTTCTAAAAACCAACGAGTACTTTTTGAGTTTTATTAAAACTTTTTAGGCATTCAAATTTACAAAACTCAACATCACATGTTTTAAATTTGTTATTTAATTAATTAATTTAAATGGCTTTTTATATATTTTTCTATAAAAACCTCACAAACTACTCATCCAAAAATTGCTTTTTATTTTTGTTATCAAAATAATCTGTTATAGTGAAAGTGTGCCATTTTCTGTATAAAAATTTTTTTGTTAAAAATTACAAACTAATAAATAAAAAACAACAACTAAAAATCAAAGAAACATAATTATAAAATATTGTGGAAAACATTTAAAATGTAAAAACTCCAAAAAATCAAAGAATAAAATTGGTAAAATATCTTTTTTTTAAACAAAAAGTAGATAAAAAAAATAATTGTACGGCAATAAATAATTTACACAAATAAAAAAAATAAGAAATTATAATTACGGTTTAATTATTTTCTTTTTTTGTGTAAAAATTGACATTTGACCGCATAAATAATTGCAAATACACAAGAGAAATAATAAAAAATCTAAAAATTAAAAACAAATAAACATTAAAAATGCAAAAAATATAAACTTTAATCAATTTTTAAAACCTGAGAAAAATAGAAAATTGTAATAGTTATAAAAACCGGAAACAGTATTTTTTTTTGTTAAAACCTTAATTATCAAGAAATACATCATATTTTTTCTTTGTCAAAAATCTAAGTAAAAAAATGATGTTTTCTTAGTTATAAGTAACAAAAAAATAAGCAAACTCACCTTCGCTGGTGTTCAACAAATGCTCGGAACGATCGCTCGGCACCTTCCACAGGTCGTCGACGTTCCTCGGCGTGCAGGGCGTCGCGAAGTCGTCCAGGTCCGGACTCTTCAGATCCAGCGACGTCAGCTGCTGCGTGATCCGCTTGAACGGCGACAGGATCAGGCTCGGCCGCTCCGAGCTCAGATCCTCGCCGACGCCCGAGTCGTCCGACGACGCGGCCGCGGTCAGCTTGTGCTCCTCGACGAAGTTCAGCGCCTGCTCGACCAGCCCGGGGTCCCACAGGCCGAGCAGGATGCGCGTCTTGCCGATCATGTCCTCGCAGATCGGCAGCATGCCGTCGGTCCGCTTCTCCTTCGCCAGCCGCATCAGCGTCCTCATCGCCTCCACCACCTCTTTGCGCAGCTGCTTGATCGCCTGGAGAAATTCGCATTTTTTTTTCATTTTAAGTGAAATAAAACAAACACGACGTTTCCTTACTTGTATAGCGTCGTTCGCCATGGAAATTTTGGTGGATATCTGGTAGTTTGTGGTGGATTTGGCAGGAGATTCCTTGATTTGTTGCACCAACCTGGTATTTAATTTTATTTATGCACAATTAATAATAATAATAAATAATCTTTCTCTACGACTACTTAAGAATAGTAACATTCTAGTGTAATTTTTGATCATAGAAAGGATGTTTTTCTGCAATACTGTGCGAGAATATTCCTACTCTTGTTTAAGAATGGTCACAAGTAACGACATCTGGCTGTTTACTAAACGTAAAAAATTTAAAAATATTTAAATATTACTGTATTATTTATTAATTAAAAAATAATAGCAGTCTTATAATTAAGGTTTAGGCACAAAAAATTAGTAATATTTTTTGTTTTTCAAATATACAAATCAAAATTATAATAAATTTGATATTAAAATGATAAACCAGTTACCTACTATACCGGCTTTGAAGTTTTGACAGATTCAAAAAGTTTAAAAAAAGACCTTTAAAATGTAGAAAAAGAATAGATGTTGACATAGATTACTTGAGGAGCACCCGTGCAAAACCGGCTAAATCCATTTTATTCAGTTTTTGGTTTTTTTTTTGATTTCGCATCTTTGGGTTCATTTCTATCGTCAACCAAGATAATATCCAATAAATAATAATGATGATGAGCATGTGGCTTGGATATGTCGATACTACTACTAAAATTTCTTCATGTTTGCACTAAATTTAAATGGTTTTTCACATTTTATTCGTTTTTTATTCGGTTTTTGAGCAAAACCGGCTATATACAAAACATTTTTTGAAATTTTGGCCTTAATATAAAGTTTTTGAAAACGAAACTATGTCTTATAAATCAAGTACTACAAAGCCCTCAAAACTCAAGTTTGCTTTTTCTTTTATCTGTAAATGCCAGGAAACCGAAAGTTTTTGCCATTTTCCCAACATTTTATTAAAGTGGATATAGCCGGTTTTGCACGGATGCTCCTCACTTGTAAAATTAGTTTTGTATTTGTTACAATGTTATTTTTTTTATTAGTTAGTGTAAATAACTATTTTTAATTATAATAAAGATTTAGGTATACCATTTGTTTAAATTTATTATAATTTACATTATAAAATTGTGACGGCACAAAATGGTTTGACAAAACAAAAAACTTAAATGTCAAAAACTGCTTGGTTTCTTTTCTCTGTTTAAAATTATATAAGCGTTACTATTCTTACGTAGTCGTAGAGAAAATAATGTCTGAAACACGTTTGGAATAGCATATTCCACTCTCGTAAAACCGTCACACTCGCCTTCGGCTCGGGTGTCAAATTTTTCCTCGAGCGGAATATGCTGTATTCCAAACTTGTTACAGAATGTACTATTATTTGTTTAAAAATACCAAAAGGTGTAAAACACGTCAAATAAGTACATAACATAATTTAAAAATTAATAATACAATTTAAAAGAGAAAGACAAATAATAAATAAATAAATAAATGTATTTCATACATGTAGCAAAAGTATATTGGGCCAATATTGGAACGACTATATTGGATAAATATTGTAATACTAAGATTTTGGCTATAGGTAATGGCCCAATATTAAAATAATATTGGATGCCAACATAAGCACCATAATGAGCCCCAATGTGTGCACTAGGGTGTGCCAAAAAAACTCTTTTTTTTTCTTGCTCTCCACCCAAAATATCGTAGAATATGTCCGAACAAATATCCTGTTAAAAGCGGAGCTCATAATTTCAAGGTCCTTCATCGAATCTGAAGTTTTGCCGCATAAATAGCACAGAAAACTGACTTTTTTACCTTATTTATTCTTGCAACCTAGGAAGAAATTTTTTTTTCATAAAATCCATGACCAAATCTTACAAAGCATTAAATTTGGACGAAAAAATCTTATTAAGCCGAATTTCTATTTTCATTATTTAATTTTTTACAGAGTTTTTTGCCTTTTTCAGCTAAACTATTGAAGTTAGACGAAAAAGTCAAATGGCAATTTTTTAGCTTGTCTGATGGACCACAAAAGGTTTTTTTTGTATCGTCAATATTCTAAAAGTTACAGGCGTATAAAGTCATCATTTTTGTATTATTAACTTTAAATTTAAAGCTCTGTAAAAAATCAAATAATAAAAATAGAAATTCGGCTTAATAAGATTTTTTTGTCCAAATTTAATGCTTTGTAAGAATTAGACATGGATTTTATGGAAAAAAAATTCTTCCTACTTCAGATTCGATGAAGGAAGAAAAAATTGAAATTTTAAGTTTTAATCGTGAATAACTTTTGAAGAATTAAATTTAGGTAAAAATGTTAAGAGACCTTTTTTGTAGAACATTAAATTTCCTTTGAGAATCCGACGTGAGCTTTTTTAAATATTCATTGATTCATTAGTTACAAAATTTCAAAGTAAAAAGGGCAAATCGAAAAAACACATCGATTTATTAAGCTCAATTACTCGGAAACGGCTCGTCTGACGAAAATTTTCAATCAGACATTTTTTGTAGAGAATTTAATTTTATATAAAAATAAGTGAAAAGGATTTTTTTCACTTTAATGTTTTGACAGTTCTAACGTAAAACATCAAATTATGACTAAAAATCAAAAATAGCGATGATAGACCTCTTAAAATTAATATTAAATTTTATGGAATCAGAGGCAAATCTTGGGATATACTTAAATCTTATCTAAATAATAGAAAACAACGTGTCTATATAAACAACTGCCTTTCTGAAACAAAATTGATACCATATGGGGTTCCTCAAGGTTCCATAATGGGCCCGGTTCTTTTTATAGTAATATCAATGATCTTTTCTTTAACCTATTACCCAAAAAAAGTGTGGCTTTTGCTGATGATGTCACAATGATCGACTCTAATAAGGATCTAATTTCACTTAAACTGTCTGCTAAAGAATCTGAGACTACTGCTTTTGACTGGTTTACGCCTAATAAATTGGCAATGAACAACGACAAGATCCAGAGTTTAATTTTTTCAAATAATTCCAACGTTACCAAAGGAAATCACGTAAAACTCCTAGGTATCACAATAGACGATAAATTAGACTGGAAAGCCCATATTGAACAACTTGGCAAAAAACTTTCCAGTTCTATTTTCGTAATTAGGCAACTGTCCTACATATATATATATATATGTATATATATATATATATATATATATATATATATATATGTATATATGTATATACTTTCACCTGACATCCTTAGGACCTGTTACTTTTCGTTATTCAACTCCCATTTCCGACCCATTTTTAAACATCTTCAAATCTTGCCCCTACCGTGCCTGTTTTTACTATATTCTTTAATGGAAATCCACAACACCAAATTTAGTGACATTTTAAGTCATAATATTCACAACTACAATATTAGAAACACAAATTTCTTAAGAACCTCACATTTTAGGCTTACAAAAACTTTTAGAAATACCTTAAATGTCAATTTATACAATCACCTACCTCAAAAAATTAAGGAACTAACTTCCAAACGATTATACATAACGTTGTATTTTCTTTTAAACACTGTTGTTTGTTTGTGTTATTTATACAATTTCTATTTATGAACAAAACATATGTATTTTTATTTACTATGTATTTACTTACTATTCTATAATAGTATTGTATACTTTTTTTTTGACCTGTCACAAACATATTGTAATATTGTAATGTTGACCAATAAATTTATTATTATTATTTTATTATTATTGTTAAGGGCTCAAATTTTCACGAAATTTTTTTTTGTCATTCTGAATTACATTCTCGATATATTTTTCAAAATAAAAAAAATTGTCAGTTTTTTTGGCCCAGTCTAGTGGTCACAATATTCAATGATAAAATCGACAAATTCATAAAAAACCTACTTGATCAATCCTCCATTCTTGGACTTGTGCGAATGCGCGGTGAAAGCCCCGACGGTTATCCAATCGTAGAAGCCGGTCTTGTTGAGCGTGTCGTTGTGCACCCACATCCGCTGCAGGTGCAGGTTGACGGGCGCGAACTCCAGGCTCCTGTCCGACTTCCTGCTGCTCGGCTTGAAGGCGGCGCCCTTGTGCGCCTGCAGGTTCTCCTTGGCCTGCGAGTACAGCCGCAGCAGGTGCAGGTGCCGGTCGAGCAGCTCCACCTGCCGCGAGTGCCACGGCTCGCGCAGCTCTCCCATGCCCGCCACCTCCTGCAGCAGCTCCTTCTCCTGCTGGATCCAAACGTCCCTAAGAGAAGACGCAGGTGGCGTGTTTAATGCTTTTTTAGAAGGAAAAACAAAAACATATCACGAAACCCCGATTAGTCCAGTCAAACCGCGGCACAGTGGCAAGTTATTCTTAGTTCATGTTTATTTTTTTTTGGTCTAATTGATGAAATTTTAATAACAATGGGGTAGTTAAATTTTTTCTGACCTATACTTTTTATGATTTTATTCAAGGCCTTTTGTAATTTTAAACATTTCTGTGAAATCGGAATTTCAATTGAGTTTACCGGTTTCGAGATATTTACAAAAAAAATCTCCTAATTACGTCACTAGGCTATTGACAACGTTGCCAGCTTTTTCTATGGTTGCCAGTGTGTTTAGTTTAAGATTCTTACGATAGATGGCGCCACGTTATAATATTTTAGTTTTAAAACTACTTGATCTATAATTTTAGTTGAGAAGAAGAAGAAGAATTGATTTTTTGACGTTTCTTTTTTTCGGGTTATGTTTTTTTTAAATTTAGATTATTGAAAATCAATGTTATTGTTATGTTATTTGTAATTGATATTAGATAAGTGATTTATTAATAACGGACTCCAAAGCAGAGGAATCTTGTGGAATGGTTGGTTACATTGAACATTGGAGCTTTTAAACAAATAAAGTAAGTACCTATAATTATAATCATATTTTGTCGTAAATGCATTTCATTAGTATAATGCCTAGTTCTTTATATTCTTTTAGATATATCTTGGACTCTAAAATATCAAACAGTAATATGATACCTCGTAATAAGGAAGATAGGTACTTAATGAATTTGGTGACCATCTTTCACTCAACTGACAATGACAGTATTTGTACATAACCTCTTCGGGTATTTTCTGACATAACCGAATGAAATCATTAACAAGATAACTTGACAACAGGGTAATTTTCAACCAATAGAAATCTTAGAATGTTGGTCACATGGCGAGGTTTGTGACGTCATACAAATTTATATTTTTTGTAAATATCTTGAAAACGGTAAACTCAATTGAAATTCTGATATCACAGAAATGTTTAAAATTACAAAACGCCTTGAATAAAACCATAAAAAGTATAGGTCAGAAAAAATTTAACTACCCCATTACATTTTACTATCATTAGAAAAACAAGTACCGCTCTGGATTTTGGAATGATGACTCATCACCGATAATTTTTTGGTTGTGAACAACACTGTGTATATTCATAAGACAAATTTTTACGTTAATTGAAACCACTAATTTATTCCACTAATTACGAGGTTCTGAATGAGGCTTTAAACACAGTGTGAGATGAGATGCGTGACATTTTTTAAAACCTTAGTGTCCATACATGTGTTAAAATATGCAGCGGTTACTTTATTGCCGTAGTTAAAGAACAATAATAATAAAAACTTACCATTATTCTTACTAGCCATAACAAATGGCAGTATTTAAAACAATGATAGTCAAAAAGTAAGAATAAATTAGTAATAAACATTGTAAGCGAAGCAATACCTTTACGCGCAACCAACACAAAAAAGTAATTATAATTTTTAAACTTTAACTGGTTACCTGATAAAAATTCAACAAATTTAAGGTGATTTAAGGTTGTTTCCTTTCCTACTGATATTAAAGAATGCAAAATTTCCTAAATTTTGTCGAAATAAAACACTTACTTATTTTGAATTTCCGCGCTCTCTAGCCTACTGTGCGTGGTGAAAAATGGTCTGACCTTAAAACTAAATTTGCACCACCTGACCATTTTTTCTTACTTATGAAATACGCAAAAATACATTTTTTGTTTTTAGCGAATATCTCGGCCCCCGTATATTGCACAATAAAAAGTAAAATAGTAAAATTGTTTTTTATAAAATTTTCAATAATTTCTGTTTAAAGAAAAAAGTTAAAAAGTATAGTTAATTAATACAAAAAAGTGCTCTTTTAGTTCCACCCTTACTTCTTAAGAAGTCCCATAAGCCAACTGAATGGCTTGTACGGGTTAGGGGTAGGAACGGACCGCGGGCTTAAAGTCCCCTCCGAAGGACTATATATACAAAATTGTGTTTTTACTTTTTTGCAAATATTTCGCAAACGGTATATTTTAGGATAAATTATTATGTTTAACATTGTGTACCTCTTTTAATATTCTACAATTTCAAAAAAAAAAATAGAGCTGGATGCGACCAATCCTCGACCGCGCTCGTACACCCATAAGAACGCTTTTTTTCACCGGTTTTAAATGTTTTGTAGTCTGCAAAGCCGTGAAAATATTTCAGAAGCTCGCCTCTGGTTAGTTGCACTAAATTCTATTTTTATATTTTAGAAAATCAAAAGGGCCAGAAAATGTTTATCGTAATAATTTACCGTAAAATGCAGTTTGCAAAAAAAGTTAAAAAAACAAAATTTTTAATTTAACAATCTATATATTCTTACTTATTAGTAAAAACACTTTAGACAAAAACTATGGGAAGTTTTATAAAAAAGAATCTGATTTTTTACTTTTTATTGTGCCAGGATATTCACTACAAACTGAAAAAATGTATTATTGCGTATATATTTGTAGACAAAAATTTGGTTTTATGCTTTTCAAATAATTTTTTAACAATTTATGAATTTATGCCTTAGAACTCAAGGTCAAACGACGGTTTGACTGGACTAAATCGTTTTTGTAAATTATTCACATTTTTATACACTTTTACTTACAGTATTTGGTTGGGAAATGGAAAACACGACCTGCTCTCTGCCATGAGTTCGTGAACGCAAATGTCACCCCCAAGACCGGAGTGAAACCTGTAGGTTTGTATTGATGGTGAAGTGTACAAAAGTTTTAACTCTGACTGATTTGGAAAACGCATTTTTACACCCAAGCGGGGTGGAAGTGATTGAGATCTTCTATGAGACCAAACCTGGAAAAAATAAGCGAAAACTAATATTGTTTTCATAGGCCTACACTTATAGCATTGATACCTCAAGAAAATATTACTTTATGGCGTTTTAGTCACAGGCTAAAGTTAGCTTTAAGTTAGTTGAAAGTTTTTAAATATTTGTATTGAGATAATAAAAAAAAAATTAAATTTAGTATTATTTTACAAGAATGGCACTTTATTTTAACGATTGTATGACATTTCACAACTTTCAACAAACTTAAAACTAACTTCAGCCCGCGACTTAAAAACTGTTTCTAACTTCAGCCCGTGACTAAAAGGCCATAAAGCCACCCCTTGTCAATTATTTAAAGGTAGGAGGAGAAAATGTATAAAGTTTGATAAACTCCATTTTATACACGAATTTAATTTAGGCACGAGCAAGCTTGCGAGCGAGTGCTTATGTTAATGAGTGTATAGAAAAGTTTATAAACGAGGTGCATACTATACTTTTTCTACGACAAATACTTATTATTATCTTAAAATGATTTAAATCCAAAATTTGTATAGAGCGCCATCTATGAAACAACAGGGGAAACTGTCAAATGTCACATTTTTACATTTTATAAACACAATTATAAATCGAAATGTATCTTGAAAATTGACATTTTTTCACAGTGAAAGTAAAGGAAATGTTTTATGAGGACTTTACAGTAGAGTCCGTGCCCGAATTTAAGTTAAAGTTTACTGCCGGCGAAATTCAAAGGTCAGTACAATGTTCATATAAACTTTTCAAATATTGGCGTTGAGAAACAATTTAATATTTTTGTATTTTTGTATTGAGATAAAATAATTTTCACATTTAGTATTATTTTACAAGAAAGGCACTTTATTTTAACGATTGTATGACATTTGACAACTGTCAACTAACTTAAAACTAACTTCAGCCCGTGACTAAAGCGCCGTAAAGCCACAACTTGTCAATGTGTATTTAAAAGGTCACTTAGTGTCATGGAAACATGTACGATAAAGGGCGTTTTAAAGGTGGGAGTAGAAAAAATAAATAAATGCACGGATAAATCATAATAAAACAATAACAACAAAAAATAGTTGGATGACCCCAAGTCTTAAGGTCAATGTTTTCCCAAAGACTTTTAAGCAAATTATGTTTTTTCATCGAAGATATTCAGTGATATACTAGGGGCAATACAAATCGTGTACCACTTACTGAACAATTGTGTTAGCTCCCTATAATCAACTTTAAATTGCTCTTGTGCTGTTTATAAATATTTATAAGAAAATACTTTTGGTTTTATCTACACTACTGCTGTGCCATTTATGTTGCATTGAGTTCTTAAGAAGACACATATGGTAGATATAAACATGACATTTTTATAATAAACTACGTACAATTAAAGCATTTGAAGACAAAAAATAGATATAACAACAAATGAAGAAAATGAGAAAAGAGTTCACTCATAAGGGAAAACAGTTACAATAATAATAATTATTATTGTAATTGTTACTATTGTTAAAAGTAGGTTTTTGGCGAATTATTTGGTACACTCTCTCATCTAACACTTAATTATTGTTATATTACTCTTCTGTTTAAGCGCGAGAATCCATTGTTTTTAGATTTTAATATAAGTGTTTAGCTAACTATTTAGCGTTGGCACTTGTTTTATATCATATTAAAACCTCAGAAATAAGTTAAATTTTTTTATACCTAAAAATTACGCTAAGAATACATGTCAAGAGATTTTTAACCCAGTAATGACCTCCAAGCCTATTTTCGTCTTTTAACAACAAAACAAGACGTTACTCAAATATTTAAACACAAATAACAGATGTCAAAAAAATCCTTATGTTATTTACAATGATAGGTCTATCATCTGAAGATTTATTTGTTCGATTATAATGAAACAAATTACAATTTTGCCGTAGGAATTTATGAACATAAAATAACTGCAGAGTTCCTTGATAATTAGGGTTATAATGTTAACGTCTGCATGATTTTAATCTCATCAGGGAAATAACACGTAAAACTTTCGTCTTATTTTTTATATATAACACATATTACTGAAACCAAAATAATGCGATATAACTAAATTTACTTACATACAAAAGTTGATAATAACCAAGATACAGGGTGTCAAATTTTTATTTGTAAATTTAAAAAGTATAAATGGGTGAGTAGGATTTTATTCTATTGCACACGGTGTGCCTGAACAAAGTTTAAGTCATATAAAAATGCCGCCAAAAACTGATTGCAGTTTATTGTTCGGGACCATTTGGGGACAAAAATGATATTTACCAAAATCCTAGCTGCTCCTCTTTTCGAAATTTTTTGAAAAATCTTTTTTTTTATTTTTGTTTATCTTACTTTTGACAGAGTACACATTTGTACACCGATTTTTATAATATTGGAGTATATTGTTAACGAGACTTGGAGAATACTGTTTTCATACTAAGCACGTCATTAGATTTATACAGGGTTAGCCAAAAATCACTTTTTTATATAGTAAAATGCATAATGCACATAAAAGATTTATCTCCAAAAAATGTTATTTTATTTAGTTTTATTCAAAATCAATTTTTCTTATTAAGTCTTAATAAGAATCCCATTTTGTAGCCTGATAAACATAAAATTATCTAAAAAAAACATGGGTGGGTATATATCTTTTTTGCGTGTTATGCCAAAATCATGAAGTTGCGCTTTTGCTTTATTAAAAGAAGCGATTTTTGGCTAACCCTATATATACTAAATGATGTGCACTGTATAAAAAAGTATTCTCCAAATCTCCTTAATAATATACTCCAATATTATAAAAATCGGTGTAGAAATGTGTACTCTGTTAAAGGTAGACTTTAAGATAAATCAAAAATTTAAAAAAAAATCATGAATGTTCAAAAAAATTCGAAAAGAGGAGCAGCTAGGATTTTGTTAAATATCATTTTTAAGTCACCAAAGGGTCCCGAACAATAAGTTTAAGGCGGCATTTTTATGTGACTTAAACTTCGTTCAGGCACACCGTGTGCATATTATATCTTTTTTCAAACAAATATTTTCTATTCGAGATTTTATTTTAAAATTATTTTTTTGTTTTTATATGCACCTCATTATGTTTTTTGGTTGATATTTTTGTTAAAAATGTTTTAAACAAAAATTGTAGATGTTAATCCGACAAGTGCAAAAAACTTTGATTTATTGAAACCCGCTTATAAATAACGGAGATAAAAAGGTTTATGTTAAAAATGCATAATAAATAAATAGAGTGAGATGTGCGCGTTTTGTTACTCAATGAAAGCACGTTATCCGAGACAGTTAGTGCGTTGTTGTGGTCCACACTATAAACATCTTTGTGTTGTTTTTGAAGTGTTTGTTGTGCTTTTTTTAAGAAAATGATGTTTAAGATCCTACTTGTTTGTTTGCTGGTTCTCACTCAGGTATACCAACATGTTTTGTATAGTGAATGAATGTATATAGAAAAAAGTGATGTATGGATAAAAGCAATAATATCACATATTAAATAAATTTCTTAAAAATACTATAATATTATAAATTAAAAAAAAAAGGTTTTTAATTTAAAAATATTCAATATGTCTAAATTATTTACACAAATAAAAAAGTATAATCAAAAAGCAGGTATAGGTAGGTATACAATGAAATTCTTCAAATTAATGCCCATTGGTAAAAGTTAAGGTCAAACCAGCCTTAAACCACTTTCACAGGGTGCTTGTATTGGTATAGAAAACAAGATATGTATTTTAATTATAATTATCTATGGGATATCTGCATTTATATAACTACTTATTTAAATCCTAATTATATACGTTATACTTCTTCCTACTCGCCAATTATTTTTATGTTTTTTTTTCGTAAAACCATACATTTAAATAAAATCGATTTAAAAATTACCAAAGAAAAAGTAAAATTATTGCTGATTTCTACAAAAAAATCCTAAAACCGGTATATATACAGGGTCTTTAAGAATGTCCTTATATTTAGTCGACATTTCAGCAGTCGTAATTTTGGATTGTTCATCATTAAAACTTTAGCTTGTCATTATTTAAGCTTTTAATCATCTAGAATGTCCCCATTCATCTTGACAGCATTATATAGCTTGTTCTTTTAACTTGTTGTCATTTTGGATTGCTATCAATTAAGCTTGTCGTCATTATATCTTGCCATAATTTTAACTTTACGTCAATTTAGCTTACCATTATTTAAGCTTGTAATCTTTTAGGAATTCTTCATTTAAATTGATATCATTAAATAAACTTGACATTTTAGGTTGTCATTATTTTATCATGTTGATGTATACCTTGTTATAATTTTAACTTTTCGTCATTTTAGCTTGTTGTCATTTTAAATTGTCATTATATTAGATTGCCATTATTTGTAATTTGTAATCATTTAGATTGTCATCATTTTAGCTTGTTTATTAAAGCCTGTCCTTATTTAGGATGTCGTCATTTTATCTTGATATCATTTTAATTTGTTTCATTTCGTCTTGTTATCATTTAAATGTTCATCACTTATCAATAAATAAACTTGTAATTTTAGGTTGTCATTATTTTAGCATGTTGATGTCATTTAGAATGACATTATATCTTGTCATCATTTTAAATATTCGTCATTTTGCTTGTTGTCATTTTAAATTGTCAACGTTTTAGCTTGTTTATTTAATCTTTTCGTCTTTTAGAATGTCCCCATTTTATGTTGTCATTTTAACTCGTTTTTATTTTGGCTTGTCGTAATTTTAGCTTGTATTCATTTAAATAGTCATCACTTACGCTTGTCATTATTTGAGCTTGTAATATTTTAGGATGTCCCCATTTATCTTAATATCATTAAATAAACTTGTCATTTTGGGTTGTCATTATTTTAGCATGTTGATGTCAATTAGTATAACATTATATCTTGTCATCATTTTAATTATTCGTTATTTTAGCTTGTTGTCATTTTAAATTGTCATCATTTTAGCTTGTCATTATTTAAGCTGGTAATCTTTTAGGATGTCCCCATTTATCTTGATATC